CTGCCGGCTTACCATCCTGAAAAGCCAACATTAGCTGGTGTCCACATATTCTGTGTCTAGGAAGGCCACTGCTGGGATCTGACTTCAGAGTTATTATGCTTATGGCCATGTGTTGTCCCCAGGTGAGAGAAGGCACAGATCTCTCCATGCTGGTGCCTGAATAGCCAGGGGCAAAACTCAGTTTTCCATAACAAACACATGTTTTTCTTTTATTTGTAATAAAGAAAATGAGGGCCTGCCTTGGAATAGATCTAGAATCCTGAGACCTCTGTGGGGCCTGGCTGTTCCCAGCTTTTCTTCTGCCCGTGGCTTCTTGAGGGATCTGTTTTATTCCCCAACACGTTCCACTTGGAGACACTGCTCTGTGGTCTGATGGCAACAAAGTGCTGCCATCCAGAGCACTGCTGGGTCCCTCATGCATCTTAGGGTGCTAAGGGGCCAGTGGGACACTAGGTGGGTGCCGCCTCTAGCTATGAACCAGCTGTGTGGAAGAGATGCAGGGGAGATGGGGGAATTCTTAAAAAAAAAAAAAGCAAGTACCAACAGTTCATGAAGCCCACAGAGGGAATCTGAGAGCGGCAGGACCCCGGGGAGAGATGCTAATGTAGGGGCCTAGGGTGGTGGGGGAGCATGGGCAAGTCACTAGCAGCTGTGGAAAGAGGCTGCTCTTTCAGGAAGAGGCTGATCCAGGAACCTGGGGGACACAGAGACCCAACACACTCCCAGCCCTGACACTCAGCATTTTCAACCCAGCCACACCCAGGGTCTTCAGAGAAAGGCTTCCCGGAATCAGGAATCAGTTCTGAATATACTATTTTGCAATGGAGAACACTCTAAGGCCCCATTTATGTATTTGATGTTTGTGGCATTAAGAAGTCACACCACTAAAAACCTCATCCTTTGTAGACACCCTCTTGAGCTCACCTCCTCCTCTTAGGTGAGAGCCAGGGTTCCCTGACAGGCTGAGGGACGGACACTCTCTCTGCCCACCATTTGTTAAGAACCTCATCACTCTTGGCTTCCTTCTTGGTACCGAAGCAGGTTACACATGGCCCGGACAGCAACTTGGCCTTAATGGTGTGCTCTCCTGGCCACGACACCGGGAGGGGGGAGGGGAGCTGGGACTTTCTCCTTAGCCAAGACTGTGCCTGGAATCCCTAGGGAGGCAGCTCCTCCAGCTGTTTTTGTCTGACTGTTTGGGAGTGATTGAGCCTTAGTCTTTATCCCTTTCTCATTTACCCTGATGAACTTGGTAAGTCCTCTAAACACGTGAGCAGTCCCTGGTTCCTACCTTGGTGGTGGATGTCTGGGAAACTTACCAAGTCCCGTGAGAGCAGCAACTGGCCAAAACAGCAACTCAAGGGCAGTGGCTGACCTTGTTCCTGTTTGGAAGCATTCGTTGTTCAGGTTTTGTGTTCCGAAAGTGGCAGGTTGGAGATTGGTCTGAAGAGAACATGGCCTCATGCACAAGCCAGTCCCTTTTCTTTGGTGCCCTCTGGGTACTAGGACAATGGGATTATCTCTAAATGTCCCTCTCATATCACCAGCTCTGGCTACCATCTGCTGCTGGTCCCTAAACCTACCTTGTTCTGGCCTGTGTTAGAGGAGTTCACTGAAATTCTGTAAGGGGACTGAAACAGGACAGGCCACACCCAGTGCGGGGGGGGGGGGGTCAAGAGCAACAGGAAAATGCCAGGAGTATGGACGAGGGGGCTGAAAAATGGCTCTTTTCCCAAGTACGCCACCAAATCACTTGAGGTAGCAGAGCCTTTCCTGTTTCTCATGCTTGATTTTATAAGATATTCTAAGTGTAAGACTCACTAACATTGTCAGTTTGATGGGACTTCCAAGCCCACAGGCTAACCACTGGACAGCTGCTTCTGTACCCAGGCAGAAGCTGTATAGTGCTTGGCTGTGTATGTCTCTGAAGACAATGCATACTTTCAGCAGCAATTTCAATAAGGCCTGGTTGTAAAGCTTCAGGAACCACCTGGCCTTTGAGTGATACACTTTAAAAACCCAAAACAAAAATAGCAACAACAAAAACTTCCACATTTCATCTTCTCTTGGTAACTTCAGAGTTGGAACAAAACCAGGTGCTATGGTTCCAATCTGCTTGACAAGTTCTTGGAGGTCAAGGTAAACTAAGTGAGCCTCCTCCCCACAGTGGAAGAAACACAGCTGTTTATCCACGCAGTTGGAGACATTCACATGCGGACTGACTGCTGGGGAACACTGAGGCAGGAGGGCCATGACCAAAACCATTGTCTATTGCCTCATTCCTTCCTGTGGTCAGAAACCTCTGCTTCCTGCTGTGCTGGACTTGGCTGGACAGGGACAGAGGCTTTGAGGCAGTAGGGCAACCCAGCCACACCCCTCCCTAGTTGTTCCTTACAGGGGTCTTTTATTGCTTACTACCTATTTTCTTCTCCATAAAATGGACCTTGAGAGTTTTCATTGAGGTTCCGATTCTGTTTACCTCAAGGGTTTTCAATGAGGCACCTACCTCTGTTTACCTCAAGGGTTAGTGAGGTTCCTGATTCTATTTATCCTCAAGTTCTTGGTCTTTACTTGGACTGCTCACAGAAAATGCACCCTACATTAAAGAGAAACGTGGCTGCAGCCCACATGCTGAGCTCAGGCTGGCCAACAATGGCTTACTTAAGATGCTAACTCTTCTTGAGGTCTACATAGCCAGGTGTAGAGTAATCTGGAATCTTCCCCATCCTGTCTTGATGGGTCAGAACCCACCAGGGTAGAAACAATAAGAGTTGCTAGGTTTATAAAATTACACTTGACAATGATGCAACCAAGACAGTAGAAAGGTGTTTGGACATTTATTGCAAGCCACAGAGGTGCATGTTCTGAGAGACGTACATTGAAATAGGTACACATACACACGAGGCTAGAGGGCCGTACAGGGGGAAACAGGGAGAGAGAAACATTCACAGTGCCGAGCAGCATTAATTTGCACGGATACAGTTGTCTTAATGTCACAGAATAGTCTCAGTACCAGCTCACCACATTTAGGTCAGGATCAAGAGCGGTGGGTCTGGTTGGTGGAATCCAGTGGCATGGAGCATAATGACTATCAGAGGGGTTTGGCTCAAACCACAACGGAGAGGCCTGTTCTAGTTCTAGCTTCAGGCTTTGTAGCATGCTTAGCTGAGCCCTTGCCTAATTGAATTCCCGATTTTTTTGTGGAAAGACACCCATAAAGTAACAAACCCACAGCAGCCACATCCAGATGTGAGCCCCAGGTGGCAGCTGTGCAAAGGGAAGAGCCCAAACCCCTGGTTATGATACAGCAATGGACAGGTACAACTGTGGGGTTAATACCTCCCCTGCTGGCCAGTTTTCATACTTGTCAAGTAAGATTTTCCCCCCCAAAATGACAATACCTTGAAAAATTCACTTAAAATGCAAGGTAAATGGCATAAATCCCAAGCACACATATAACAATGGCAATGGTGATGTAAATGAAGTTGGTCCACACTTCACACTGGCATACAATATGAAGGAAAGGCTGTAAATCTATCAAAGTGATAAGAAATATACAGAAGTAAAATGCTCAAACTGCTTTTCCTTAAAAGTAAACAGACAAAAAAAAATAAACAAAATAAAAAAACCAAACCCACCCTCTCATGCATCCCAGAGAACCAAGAAAAAAAAAAAAACATAAATATTTAAATCAGATTTGAAACCCATTTTTTTGAACCAATTTAAATTTCCTAAATACTTTGTCTCCACAGTAAGATCCTCTCAGCCCCTAAAGGTGAACACTTTGAGGTATTTTTTTAAATGAGATCGTACTAACAATTAAGTTCACCATCATTTCCTGGAAAATGATGGAAAAGGACAGAAAGCAACTCCCCTGGTCTGGCAGTGTGTTCATATGCCTGAGTGAGGCTGGCTCTGGACTGGGGACAGTCTGGGTTAGTCCTGTAATAAGCAACACTCACAGAGTCACAGTCACAAGTCTAGAAGAGACCATAAGCACTCCAGAAAAGTTCATGCCTCACTCAGAAATCTGATCTCCTTTTCAAAACCTTTGACAACAGGCTCTGGCATGGAAGTTCAAGGGAGGGCCTCATGCCAGCAACACACATTGCTGCCAGTGTTACTCCAGGCCCTTGGTGGGAATCCAATGTTAAAAGGTGATAACGCAGACCCTCCCTCCCCCCAAGGTCAGTGTGTAGTTCTTGGCTCCAGCTTACAGGAGCACACAGACATTCCTGGTAGGACCTTACAGCTTGACAAAGTGGCAAGCCAATTAACTTGAGTGTCTTTTTATCAAGGTGCTGAGTATCTACTTTTACACCAGCAAAAATTTCACCTAACATTATTTTAAAGGAAAAAGATAAGAGCACTTTGGAAAAAATGCTTTTCTTTTGCTTTAAAATATAAACCTTAGTGAACATGCTCACTTATATACAAATATATATATTTAAATACTATGAAAAAGCAAAACCAAAGGCCCCACTTATGAATATTTCTGTACACTAACTGTGACACATAGTTCAGAGCTATTCTTTTGCTTTAAAGTTAAAATTCAAGCTTTTTAAGGATTAATGTTAAATAAAAATACAATATACTTTTAAATTATGACTCTGAGATGCTGAAAAGGTGATGTCTCACAAGGATGAACACTGTAAACCCAGACTCAGTGGAGTAGCCCTTAGCCAGGGCTGGGAACTCCAGGGCCCTGAATGTGATTCAACTTTGTTCCCGGTTGGTTGGGGTATGGCATATAGGGATTGCTGACACAGACAAATGGGACTACTGGCTTTGGAATAACATGCACTACTCAGAACCACAGACAGGCACTAAAAGGTATGTCAAATTTGCTCAAAACAGTATCAAACCTGATTCCAGAGACTTCCTGTCCCTGGGGCTGCTACTGGTAATAGCAAAAGCCATTGTTCTAACCTAGGACACTTGAGATCTCAAGATTACATTCCAATGTTGTAATTTCATGAATAATTCAATTAACCAAGAAATACATTATGTTGACTGACCTTTTATAAAATGACACAAAATTCCAAGTATTTATTTCTAAAACCATTTTTTTTTCCTTTTTATGCTAAGGTGGAGATGCACCTGGGTGGCTCTGTTAAATGCTTTCCTTTGGAGAAACCAACAGTATGAGATGCTTTTCATCCACTAGGAACATGTGGTGTCTCTACTTCCCACCACACTGTGCTCACCACCATCTCCAGAGCTGAGGTTTCCACAGTAGAGGGAAAAACAAAACAAAGCTGAAGTGCTAACCAAACAGAATGATAGATTCGTGATTTTTTTTTTTTTTTTTAACACTCAGAGGAGACACAAGCCAAATGCTGTACCAGAGCTCATGCCTAATGGATTAAGCCTTCTTTTTCAGAGAATGCTTGGAAATCTATCAGTTCCAGCATGCATTTCTCTATAGGTTAAGAACACCAGGCAAACACAAGCATCCACAGTGCATATACAGTTGTTCTGATACACTTTTTTCAACAAATTCAACAGCTGCATGGGTAAGATGAAAGGGCAGAGCAGTGGTTATCTATAGCATACAACCATGATTTTCATCACTGTGATGTTTCAACCTCTGGGGACCCTTCAGTATGAGCTGTAGCTGGGAGGTGACTAGTGTAGGGCCATCTGGTAGTGTTCTAATGAAGTGCTGCCCTCCTCTTTCTTCTGCACAAGGGTCGACCAGATGTCCCAGCTGGCCTGCGTGTGTGTTCTCTCTCTCAATAATGGTAATCCATTTCCCAGGAGTCTGAATTCATCTCTACATTAGTGGAAATCCACACAGGCTTGCTGGGTGCCTAAGCCTCAGTTTCCTAATACTGTATTTCCTTCATCATGTGCATTCATGCTCCAGTTTAAAGAGACTTCTATTACTGATTTCCAACATACAATTCTCTACAACTTGCTAAGTGGCTGTAGATTCTAGCAATCAATTGTACCATTGATATTTGAATATTTTAGCTCTGATTCTCTTTTCAAAGCTCTGTGATGGATCGATCATGTAGAGAAGACTCAGACCACTTAGAGTGGCCTAACTGAACCTAGGTGGCATTTCATGGAACAGGCCGTTAAACCACAGTGGCGATGACTTCCTGAAGTGTGTGCAGAGTTCTGCTCTCACATCACAGTTGCTAGGGATGTGGTTGTGGGAGGTGGACACCAGCCCTGCTTCCCACTGCCAGCCAGCAGAAGTGGCTCCAGGATGCCTTGTCCTAGGAAGCACTCTGGGTCGTCAGTGCTAAAGGTGGTATTCAAGCATGGTTACTACTGCTTCCTCCAGAAAGAGAAGCAACGATGACATAGGAGAAACTGCTTTCCTAGAAACAGAACCAAGATAATGGGGAGAACTGTAATTTCATTTAAGTACTTCCTGCCAGGAAGCGCCTGTTAAATCAGGAAGAAGACACTGTGGAGCTATGAGATGGAAAGTTAGGGCAAGCAATCAGCCTGTGTATCCACAGGACTTTGACCTGGTACCCTCACTGGTGACCTAACAGGTGAGCATGTGTGAAGTGCTTGGATGGGCCAGCTTCCAGGCTTGCTACTACTTTTAATGTACCTTGGTATCCTCAAGTGAGTCCTTACTGCAACCTATCAAGCTGGACCTATTTCCTTATGAGAATTCTGTTTGTTTCTCAGTACCTCTGTTTAGATCACAGGCTGGCTTCATAGAAAAGTATACACTAACATAAAGATGTGCAGATACCTGGTTTCTAAAGGGAAACTAAATATGGATGGTGAAGAGAGCAGGATTCTAATCTGAAAGTTTATCACGCTCTCATTCAGAGGCAATGCCATGTAGAAAGATGCACCTTCAAGATACATCTGGAGCATTGATATTTTTGTTTGTCTTTCATGTGATGAATAAAGGAAAGCTACAAAAACAAATCAAAACAAAGCAAAGCAAAAACAAAGCCCCAAAAAGCCAAAATTCCCAAAGTCCAAAATGCAAAAGGCTCAAGAAGCCCTCATTGCATTTGGAAAGACACAGGCACTGCAGGATGAGGCTGAGTCACATGACCGGTGTTCAGGCTGACGGCGGATAGCAGTTTCCATTTCCTAATGTGGGATGAAAGAGAATGCTGAAGTAGAATAGAAGGCACTTCCGATGATATAACTGCTCCCCACAGGTGACTCAAGGGGCCAGCTGTTGGACACACATGGTTTTCCAACTCTTATCTGGTCATGAAAGCAGAACACCGGAACATACTGTAATCATACACTCTGGCGAGAGACAAGTGTGGCCCATGAAGGAAGACTCAAGAGAAGAGAAACACTGAGGTGAAGAGGATGTGGAGACTGCTTTATACGACACAATACCTTTAACACATCTCTCTCTCTCTCTCTCTCTTTTCCTGACACAGAAAGCAATGAGTACAATGAAAGGCTGAGACACAAGATGCTTAAACATCCCACACAGACTCTGGAATATACTCAAAACAATGCAGCACAGCCAGGCTGTATATACCATTTGATAAAAAAATATCTTCTTTTATGTTGTAAGGACAACTGAAGAGTCTCTTCCATCAGTTCACTGCAACAGTACAGGGAAAACACAAATTCACTTTGAGCCTTCAGTCTCTCTTCCTGCTCATATATATATATACTTTGCTTCTCTTGTAATGATTTCAGGCCCCAAACAAGTGTTTCTTTAGTGAAGACTATCTTCTAGTCCCTGGGAGAGTCATCATGACACTACTGGGGTCATATCCCACAACTGCAAAAAAGAAAAACATGCCAAGGAGGAATTAATATCAAACTGTACCGAGGAACAATGCTTACAATGGCCTCAATTCAAAGTAGAGTTTTGTTCTTTCCCAGTTATCAAACAGATACATATAGCACTAGCCTGACTTCTACATAAGGGCAGCTACATGTTGCTCTAGCTAATAAGGAGCGTTAAGGCAGATCAGATCCACTGAAGGAGAGAGGAGCCAGCACAACCTGGTCATACCTTTCCATAGACTTCCCAGGGAGCCTTCCAAACAATTCTCTAAGATGTCAAAAAAGAAGGGTCCAGGTCTCAGAGTTTGGCTGACCCTTGCTCGAAGTCACTTCTAACGACTTCATCCTGTTGCTGCCTCCAGAATTGGACAGGGTGACAGAGTCCCCCCTGGGCCTCAGTTGTGGCCATGAGTTCACGTGGCTTCAGAGGCATGGATAAACACTCTTGGAGTCATTAATCTCAGCAGGAAAAAAGCTTCTGTATGACTTGGTGACTGATTTTGGCCTGCCTTCCAGTCTCCTTTTAGTTCAAAACCACCTGTTGCAGAGGGTTTCCCAAGCAGCTCCCCTCCCCCTGAGAACCCTGGCTACTGTCTCTCATGTTACTCTTGTGACTTCTGCACATGCGACTTACTGTCTAGTGTGTGTTTATGTGTGTGAAAGTTACAAGACAACCTCAGTCGTCGCTCCTAGGGAGCCATCCACCTTGTCTTTTGAGGCAGCATCTGTCACTGGGCTCCTTGGCTTATTGACTAAGCTAGGATGCTTGGCTAGTCCTTTGGGATACATCTGACTCCACCTCCACAGTTCTGTAATTAAATGTAGGGAGCCGTCCCTGCATTCTCCATTACAAGATGGCGCCTGCATCCGGCAGGCACCGAATGGTAAACAAGCTAGTGCACAGGCGCTGGGTAACTTTCCATCCCTTGGGCTCTGCCTCTCCCGTGGCGTCATATGGGCTGATGGGCTGCAGCCAATCAGGAGTTGACACGTCCGAGGTGAAGGTTGTAAACCTATATAAGGGTTGGGTTTTGGATGTTTGGCGTCTCCGTTCTGTAAGCTTATGCTCTCCCTCTCAAGATGCATTAAAGCTTTACTGCAGAAGGATCCTGAGTGTGCCGCGTCGTTCTTGCTGGCGAGACGGTAGCGCGGGACAATTACAAGCATTTGCCATCAGGTCCTTGCAAGCACTTTACCAACAAGACAATCTCCATAAGTTCCTCGTATTGGATTTTAAAGATCATATCCTAAGTAAATCATCCTACAAATCAGAGTGTTGAGAGCTCTCAACAATGCTCACTTCCATGGGTGACATGAACACACACGGCCTCACAGCTTTTGATCCTGGTGACATGAACACACATGGCCTCACAGCTTTTGATGCTGTCTATACAAGGCCCACAATAGGAAGCTTAACAAGACGGCATCTTACCTTAATCACTTTGTCAGTTCCAGAAGTCAGTAACCATCCCCTGGTGGCATCAAAATGCACGTGCACAATGTTATGCTTACTGTCATGGAAGGTGGCGGTGGGTGCACGTCTGGAAGGAACAAGACCAGAGTGAAAGATGGGCACATGTGTGACAGGGATCCAGGATGACTTAGATCCTCACTTTTAGCCCAGTGGCTAACACTGCTTCACTGTTAGAAATGCTCATGCTTCCCCTCCTTGGTGATCTGTTACACAATTTTATTATTAACTTAGTGTGTGTAAGTGTACACATGGAGATCAGAGGACAGCTCTCAGGAGTCAGTTCTCTCCTGTTAGCTTGTGGAACTCAGAGAGTGAACTGAGGTGGTAGTCAGGCCCAGGCATGAGCGCCTCTATTCACTGAACTGTCTCACTGGCCCTATTACAGGATTCTACAAGGATAACAAGGAAAAATGGTTCTCTGGTCTCCAAAATAGGAAAGATGAAAGCCCCCAAGGTCCCTCAGGAAAAAGTTCTGCTATGATGGGGTCCATGGAACCCTCCACTTGTACTTACTTTGGAGAACTCTTTTAAAAAGACCACAGTACCTTTGCTAAGTCTGTGCTGAGAGGGAATGGATATATTCTAGCTTGGCCTATTTTATTTTAAAGGTGTGGTTGTTAAAAAGCCCAAGATACTGCTGTGTAAGGGAAGACGATCCATGTTTTCTTTCCTTTCCTACTGGTGTAAATGCAAATAAAAGTTTAAAAAATTGTACTCTAAAGCTTCACTAAGCAATATATCTGTATGAACGTGTGTGTGTGTGTGTGTGTGTGTGTGTGTGTGAGTGTGTACACATGACCAAGCAACATAAATATCTTCACACACACACCATTGCCAGCTCTGTGTTCTTGGGTCTATGGCTTTGCTGCTGGTTTTAGTGAGCAGGCCCATTGGCTGCTATGGCACTCTATAAGCAGGTCTAAAGTGCTTGCCAGAGAGGCAGAGGCGGATCTGGCAGGCCAAGCAGAGCCCCTCACCGTGGTTCAGGGTCTCTTCACTGCTGTAAGCACTTGGCAGATGACTGTCTCTTGGCCTTAGTTGAATCTACAGGAAAGACCAGTAGTGAAACATCACTGTAAATGATTTCAGCTTAACTTGAAATTTCTTAGACTCAGATCTGTCTTGATAGAACGAAGAACTGAACTCAACCATCTCTAAGGCCCTCAGCAGTTTTCTTCAATGATCAGAACTCCCATTAATCTCATCATGTGCTTGAGTGGGCAAATAATCAATGCACACGAACAACCACTTCGGCAAGGACATCGTGATGTGTACTGGATAGGGTGACATGCTCTGACTGTACCACAAAGTGCTGGGAAGACCGGAGACGGTTATCCTTGTGCACCCACTAGGGGTAAACTTGTCCCTGTGCATTTTCATAGTGTCTGGAGTAGTTTTCAGTTCTCAGAGTTGCTCCTTCCAAATCAGAGCTAAGATCTCAGGAGACCAGACAGAATGCACCAGCTGAGTTGCGGGCACCTGGAACTATTGTCATCTTGAAAAACGGGCTTAGCTCTTCCCAGAACCTAAGAACTGCTGGAGCCCTTGGTTGACACAACATCTGTAAGGACACCAGCCTGGGCACCAAGGCAAGTTCTGGCTTCAGCTTCCTGGGATATTCTGAGTGGGCAAGCAGACAGCTTTACTTGAGAGCATCCGCTATAGACACATACCTGGAGAGCCCAGTGGGGAGTTCTTTGAACTTATCCCCTCTTTACCTGTCTCTCTTTCTTTTACTGCTTGCTTCTGTCTGTACTACCACCACAGCAAGCTAGGCACGTAGACTAGCTCTGGAGTGGAACTCTCAGATTGGGCTTTGTCCATAACCCGGAGGGGTGCAGGGTGTGTGACTTACTCTTCATCAGTGATGGCCTCGTGGCAGCTGTCGCAGACCCGGACTTCAAACTCAAAGCCCATGAGTGGGATGGAAGAGCGCTTGGAGCTGCACTTGCCACACACAGCCTTCCCACATTTCCGGCAGTGGTGCTGGGGGCAAAGGGAAACAGGCTATCATGGCCCTGCCTGCAGTCCTGGCACACTCATAAACCAACTGCTGTCGGGTGACGACACCAGGCCAGAGTGCCCCAGAGCTGGCCATGGTAGCACAGGCTTACAATCCCAGCATGGGGATGGCTGACCAAATATTTGAAGCCAGACTGGGACTTATTTGTGTCTTAGGTAGAAGGGCTTAATTTATAGTTGACAAAGGGAAACCAGAATAATTAATATGATTTACTCTATTACAAAGTGCTAAAAGGATTAAAAAATGCCAGTTATCCCCTAGTAAATCACTGAATACATGACATACATGATACCATACCATACTACACTACATACCACACATAAACACACACATGCACACACACGCCACAACAGTGTTCTGAAACCCACCAAGGGCACACCAGATTTCTACTCCTTTTAATTTTGGTCTCAGTTGAGAGTGAGGACCTCTGGGAAGTGTGCCTCTCCTCTTCTTTTTCCCGTTCTCCATTCTCTTCACCTACCATTGCTGAGAGCTGCACACAGAGGAGGCACCCAACGGCCAGATCTTAAAGCAGGCTCAGCTGAGGAAGTGCTGCTGCTTTGAGAGATTACAGATCTGGATAGCTTCTGACCCAGCCCATTGTCTCAGACTCTAGCAGTGTTTAACCCCGGTAACCTAACATTCGGTCTCAATGGGGAAGACCAAACCAAACCATAGACTCAGAGTTTGAAAATGCTGTGTCATAAACAGATCTAAACAGCTCGAACCAAGTCAGAAGGAGGGGAAGTGAACAATTAAGAATTAAACATCCTCATACAATTTCATGGTTTGGAGCCAGCATGAGCTCGTGTGACACACCTCTAATATTAAGGTACGTATCAGTAGATGCTATTAAGATTTGAAAACTGTACCACGCAAGTACTTAGAACAAATCACTAGGAAACCCAATCTATCAGGGAGGGGCTGCAGTAAACATTTAGGTGTCACAGGTATAAAATCACTTAGTCCACTACAACTCCCACCCATGGGGCTACTACTTCCATAATTATATGTTTAGGTCACTTCCAAATACTACACTTTAATAAAGCACATATTACCCACCTGTCTTAGGCCAATTTTCTTATTGTCCCACATTTGCTTGAAGTTCCAGAAGAAAGGCTGGTCACACTTCTGGCAGGAATCACTGTCCAGCCACTCAGGGGTCTTTTCAAATAAAGCGAGAGCAGCCAAGTGAGAGGTGGTATGACAAGGGAACCATGGGCACTGGCTAATCTTCCAGAATAGACATATTTATCAGAAACGGCTGGTTCCTCAGTCAGTCACAAAAGTGGTTACACAGGGTTTGCTAATTGTCAGGCCCTGAGGATGGGACACAGTGGTGAATAAAAAGAACCTAAAACCACAGAGATTGTAATTTATTAGGGAAGATGTCATGAAAATATTATTAGTAATCAAAATGTCTGAGAGTCTGAAAGCCTAGGGGTTGGGAGTAGACCAGAGACTCTGACGTAGGTTGGGAGTCTCCAAAGAAGGCAAGTCAGCTGAGACCTGACGCAGAAAGGGAGAGGAGAAGGAGGGGGCTGAGTACAACCTCAGCGTGGCTGGAACGCAGACCAGAGGAGACAGGTGTCACACTTTGCAGGCTCCTGACCGTCAGGCTGAGAACTTCAGTCCCTAGTCTCTAATGACATACCATGATGGCTAACTGCACATTATATACATATGTAACCCCACCATAAGTGGTCTAAATTAAGTCGGACAGGTGGTAAAAGTATGTTCTGCTTAAAGGTATCCTTTAGTGTATCTTGCATGTGTGGACTGTGTACATACGTGTTACACGCTGAGTGCATGTGAGTGTTGTATTGAGGACTGAACTGAGGACCTCACACATACCAAGTAAGCACTTTCTCACTGAGCTACAGCAGGATAGGGAAAGCTCAAAATGGTCCTGGGACAGAAGGTAGAGACAGAACTAGACTTGTGGTATAGCACTGTTTGTGTACACATCATACACTCATACATCTATACATCCACACATACACTACACACACATCATACCCACAGATACACACACACATCATACACATACACACCACACACACACTCACATACAGACATACACACACTTTTCATATACACCACACATTCTGATACACTCACGAATCTCACAATACACTAATGCACTCATATATTTACACACACATCTTAGATATACATTATATACATTCATATACATATACACACACAGCACACACATATATACCACCCTCCCTCCACCCCCCACATTCACATATATACATCACACACACCATACACACACACACACACACACACACGTGCACGCACACACACACGTACACATACAATAGACATCTACACACTCTTACCACACACACCTTTACACATACGGTCACACACATCTGTGTGGAAAATGTATCGTAGTGTCTATGATGAGGGCATTCAGAGGAAAAAAGATCAATACATTTAATAAGATTCTATTTTTTGTTAAAGGAATTTTTGTAAATGTAGAGAAAAACAGAAGAATGGATGTTTGCCAACATGGAGAGTCTTTGTTAAGGCATAGATTTTTGTAAATATGATATTTCTAGATGGTGGTATCATGATTAGCAGACCTGTTTTCTATTAATGAGTATTTTCTAACTTTTCTACAAAGAGTGTATTCTATATCCAATAATATGTAAACAAATGACTTCATTAGCCACATAGACAAACACACAGCATCTGAGATGTCATGCTAATCTGCATCCAACCATGCGGTCCTCCCTCGCCCACACCACACTGTCTTCCATCTGCACCTCCTATGCTTGGCGGCTGCTAACTTCCCAGCAGCACCGGCACACCACAGCAACCTCCCACTCCCACCCTGCTCTTACTCGTGGCGTTTCTTAGCCTGTAAAGTCCAGACTCTCCTAGGCATAGCAGGTGCAGGCCCACGGAACCCTTCCTGACAGCCACTTACAACATCCCTTCCAAATATCCAGCATTGACATTCTAACTAGTGTTGACTGTAAGTTCATTACTTATACCATTTAATAGTACTCTGAAGTTTCTAGAAAGTCTGTCAGCACTTCAGGTTAGAACAAACTTCATTATTGTTAGCACCCCATAGCCTCTGCCATAACCAGGAAGCAATTCCCAGATGCTTATGAAATATGGTATTTGTAAAATATGGAATCATTCCCATTGCTCATCAAAGCTTCTAATTAACAAGATCTTAAACCACCAGCAAGTGCTGAATGTTCATCTATATGCACGTCAAAATGGCTCAAACCTGGCTCCCACACGCCTACTTTCATTTTTGAAAACATTATTATGTTCCTTTGGGTTGTCCTTCCATAAAAAAGGGGGGAAAAAAAAGCACACAAAAGCTAGGCCTGAATCAGGCCTGATTGTTCCTAACCCAAAGCAAGCCAGGACACAATCCCCAGCTCTAGGGGAGCCTGCTTCACATGGGCAGTATGGGTGTAATGATCCCCTGCCAGGACATGAATGGCCAAGTGTACTTTTCAAAAGCAATATTCCACATTTCCCAGCTTCCTACCACCAAGGATCATTTTAATTAGTTACTAATAGAACGCCTGTGGATTTATGGTCCCACAAAATAAAGCTGTAATCTTCCTAAGCATTTAATTACTGGCATCTGAAGGCACTGCAGTGAGTGTGGGTAACACCAGTGACTCTCTTGGGATGAAGCTGGGGTAAGGGGTTGAAAAAAACTGGGGAAATTTTGCCTTCATAAAGTGTGCCTTTTCTATTAAATTCTCACACCCTGCACGAAATAAAAGACAAGAATGCTGACTGTCAAAAGGAAAGTTTACCCAGAATAATTCTAGTCAACAAGAAATGGTTAACTTCAAAAACTTGCCCAGGGAATATTCAGTAAGCATTTAATTATTAAAATGCTTATAGATTAAAAAGCAAAATTAATTTTAAAAGTGTTATGGAAAATTTAAATGTGTGCTTAAGAAGACAAGGCATCATGTTTGGGGGGCTATTTAGAACATGACAAACAATCACAAGAAAATCATTTCCTGTATTTCCACTAAAACCAAGCTAAGGGCTCTTACTCCTCAGGCGTGTTCTAACTTATGACATAGGAATCTTATTCCGTGGTTTAATCATTACAGAAATAAGCAGGAGGGGAGCAGAGACAGCTCCAGATCTCACCCAGAGTGATGTCACTCACTTACCTCCTGCCTTTCTACATCCATGTTCCAGACGACAATGCCACCGTCACCGCCACATGAGATGAGCTGCCTTGTGTGCTGTGCGTAGGAGAGGGCTCGGACTTTGTCACTGTGGAAGAAACAAACAGTTGAGGCCAATTCCGGAGCAAACAACATGCTCCACAACAGAAAGCCCATCAGAACCAGACAATACTCAGATTTAACATTGAGCGCCAACAAGTAGCCATGTATCTTTACAGACTCTTCAACATGCAATGGTCAGACCTAAAGTGAGTTTAAATGTTGCTTTGGCCTTTTCAGGCCCATGAGAAGATACTTTTGGTCAGTTACCAACACTCAAATAAGATGATTGCTGGAATGACCATAACATCTTGCTAACTTTCCCTTAGGGGATTTATGTGTCACAATAGAAACTGGTACATTTGCTTGCTAGTCCCCAAAATGCTTGTATAAGGCAGTTCTTGATTGTCTCTATCTGCCCCCCTCCCAGTTTTCTCCATGAAGTATTAGCTAGTTACTGTCATGAATATGTGGTGAGAGGTGGGACCTTGGTGGAAAGCCCCATGGCGGGTGAGGGACAAACAGTGAGTGAGAGACAGAGACCCACAGACAAAAGTTATGTGGAAATTTTATTGGGGGAAGGTAGGGGAGTAAGGAAAGGGAAGAGAGAGGGGGACAGAGACAGAGACAGAGGGGGCCACCTCCCCAGAGAAACAATTGGGAGAGAAGAGAGGAAAGTAGGCGGAGTTTTCTCTTAAAAGGACCTTTGCACCTTTGCACCAGAGCCAGGGTACTGCCTGCCATGTGTGCCAGGTCCCTAAGCGGTGGGGCCAGGTTTGTGTTTGCCTGGATGGCAATAGTTACTCTGGTAATTATCACAATTAAATTGAGTAGTTAAGACGCTGTTAGCTGCTGCTGGCTGTAGCAATGCAGACTTGTAACATGTGCTAGGTTCGAAGTTCATTGTCCTGGGGCCTCCATTACTTTTAAAACTCACTTGAGGAAACCATGGAATCTTGATTTAAAATACTGATAAAGTATTTACTGTATTTGTAGATTAAAATGAGAATAAAACAGATTCATTTGGAATTTGCAATGAGGAATCCATTCTACTTGGGCATTATACATATTAAACAGAGAAATAATTTTCCCTAACAGAAAAAAAAAATGTGATGAGAAAAATCTCATGTTTGAGATCTTGAGATTCTTCCTACTTCGAGGCTTAGAAAAAGACAGATACTCAGATACTGCATTTATTAAGATCACTCAGCATCTAGCCTGAGAAAACCCACTGTATACTTTGGATGGAAGGAGGATGCCAAATGGCCCCAGGACGAGGGGTGCACTTGGAGGAGGAGGTGGGTTCTGTTTCACAGTGTCTGAAGGAAGGCCATCACTGTGTTGGCCATGTCCCCAGCTGGAACTACTTCTTTGATGTACTGATTACTGCCTTTGACCCCACTGTGAAAGGACACACTTCACTGTCTGTGGAATTGGCTAGCTGGCAGTCTGTCTTCAGAATAATGTTTGGTTCTTTGTATTACCTTGACTAATGTCCTTGATTTTTTTTTTTTTTTTTTTAAAGATAGGTGGAAGATAAAGGACATTCACTTTTAAAAAAGTTCCATTCTTTAAAATGACATTATTTTATTTTTGGTATTCACATTAAGGTATTTATTACTACTTTGCTGAGATAGCCAGTGTTCCTGTCTTAGCTAAGAACCCCAGACTCAGCAGCATGGTTGATTTTGTCTTTTTACACCAAATCACTATTCAGGGGGAAAAAAAAAGTAATAATCTTCAAGATGTTTTATGTCAATAGTCTCTCAGAGGGGTCCTCCTGTGATACATTTATCTAATTATTCTTTATCAATAAAAAATAGAGAGTCAGATATCAGGGTAAGAATGATCAGAGAACCAGCGGAGGGAGAAGCAATCAGTGACCTCCTATCTCTTCCCTTTCTCCATCCAAAAGGCTGAGATCCTCTCTAAGCCCAGCCTTACTAGTTTCTACCTTTCATCTGTTCTCAGTCCTCCAAAACCTTTATGGTTTATTTTGATCAGCTAGTGGCTAGTTCTGCCCTCTGATTCAAAGCAAGTTTTATTGTCAGGACACAATTAAACTATAACATAACTATAAAGATCTTGTCCTTCACCGTAAAATGAGATACTATGTACAACTGTGATACATGTTACTACACACAATTGTATTAATGTGTTACTATTTATTTGTAGAGTCAAGGTCTGGGCTGGGACTATTAGCAGAATCCTACCCCTACATCCAAAACCTGATGTCACAAAACGAAAAACAAAACAGACCCAGGCATAGTGCCTCATACTGGTAATCCCAGCACTGAGAGGTTGAGCTGGGGAACTCCCATGAATTTATGGCTGGGATGGGCTACACCAAGTTCCAAGGCTATCTTGAGAGACCCTGTGACATAGTAATCACTAAGCCCTTAAATCCCTACAGACTACAGCCATCCTTTGTATTACTCTGACGTTTGTCTGAAGGTTAAGTCAGACTTCCAAAAAGGATGGCTTCAGTGCTTCAAGAAAAAGATCACATCCATCCGTATTTGAAAGAACTGACATTGTGAAGAACAGATGCCTGGTCACAGGCTAGTGCATGTCAATTTGATTAGACAGTGTTTAAACTGTGCAGTGGACTAGACTAATCAGCATGCCCTTAAAGTATGGGAACTCACTTTGTTCTGGTAACAGATGGCATCATGAACAGGCACCACTAAACCAGGATCCAGCAGAACAAGAATTACAGCTTACTCACAGAACAACATAAACACAAATTGTGGCTGTGTTGTCTAGGGTCCTGTTGATGTTTTAGCATTTTATTTTCTGGATATATAATGATGTCTTTCCTCTTTCTTTAAGCCATGTCTAACCTACAATCTAGTAAATTCTACTTTTATAATCTAAATCAAAACATTAAAAAACCAGCCAATCTCATACTGTCCAAGATGTTAAGCCTTCCTTAATTTTCATGATAATACAGCTATTCAATAGGTTTTACAACAATCAATCCACAGGGAACGGGAGTGTGGGGGAGGGATCAATCCAAAAAGTACTTATCGCACTAACATGATGACCTGAGTTCAGGTCTCAGCACCCACATAAGAAGCTAAGTATGCTTCCCAGTGCTGTGGAGGCAGAGATAGGAGGATCCCCAGGACTCTCTGGCCAGCCAGCCTATCTGAATCAGTGAGCTCTAGGTTCAGTGAGAGACCCTGTCTTAAAAAAATAAGGTAAGAGACAGGTGATAGTGGACCATGCCTTTAATTCCAGCATTAGGGAGGCAGAGGCAGGTGGATCTCTGTTTCAAGGCCAGCATGGTCTACAGAGCTAGTTCCAGGATGGCTAGGGCTGTTACAAAGAGAAGCCCTGTCTCAAAATAATAATAATAATAATAATAATAATAATAATAATAATAATATAAAAATAAGGTAAGAAGCAATTGAGGATGACACCCAATATCAATCATTTATTTCCACACACATTGCCCCCCATGAACATGTCCACGACCACACCCACCCATGTACACACACAAGGAAATAGCCCAACAAACCAATTGCACAACCAAGCCTCTTTTATATTTGAGAATGATGCTCACTAACAGTTTATGAAGCCAAGGTCTACAAAGCCCTGACAGGAAAATTGGTCAGTACAAAGACATGTAGTTGACCAGGAACTGGGATGCTGGACACCAGGGATTTACCAAGGAAGATGCCTTAGATAAAGAGTTTCCCAGCTGTGGCAAAGCAAGGAATAGAGGCTCAGAAAAATACAAAGCCATCTAACAAGTTTGTAACAATGACCAGGCAAAAGTTAGTATTTTTGGTGTGAACAGACCTCTGTGTGGATCTAGGTAGGCAGAGCAAGCCTAAGAAGGAATGCATTATTCTCTAGCACTCACTGCAGAAACAAATAATCAGGCCAGACTTTATGAGGCTGGCCTGCCTTTCTTCCAATCCTTCTTGTGATCAAACATAATCCTTCACAACCAGGAGCTATGGCAACACCTGTAATCCCAGCATTAGAGAGACCAATGCAAGAAGATCCCAAGTTCAGGACTTGCCTGGGGTACACAGCAAGACTTTCTAAAAATAAGCAAACAAAAACACTTTAAAAAAGCAAGCAAGTCAAATCTTTGTGAGCCTTATAAATTATTATGGTTACAGAGCTGGAGAAGTTAAGCTGTCAAGTAGATAGACAAGCTTGACATGGGCAAGATGAAATGATGAAGTCTATTTTCACACTGTGTCATGTGTGAGCTTGCACACTTTTCTGGGTTATTGATTTGACAGGGTCTGTATTAAAAGACATTTGACCACTGTTTTACAACACCGTATCATACAAAATTGACAGCTGTTTCACAACCCTGTATTATACAAAGCTGTCAGTACCTAAGTCTTGCCCAGTGAAGATAGCACTGTCCCCAGTCTCCACCCAGCCCATGAGAAAGCCAGCTGTGTATCCACATAAAATTAACTTCACCATTCTGTGTGGGCAGAGCTGTGGGAAGGATGAGCACATGCTTATGGAGGTCAGTGTCAACCTTGGGTATCATTGCTAAGAAGTCTTCCACCTGTTGTTGTTGTTATTTTGTTTAAGGTTACACTGGCTGGGCAGCAATGCCATGCCCAGCTCTTTATATGGGTCCTAGTGATCAACTCAAGTTTGAATGGCCAGCACTTTACTGAATCAGCCACTTCCCCAGGCCTCACTTCAGCATTTTCTACTGCTTATGTATGGATTTTCCTTTGGATAACATCAAAACATTTCTCTCATTAACTAACAACATAAAATCACTCATATTCATTCATTTAAAAAGTCATGACATCACTGATCTTGTATCGCCAAAAGGAGTGGTCAGCATTCACAGCGGTGGCACATTCAGCAGGAGACGTATTATGAGGACGGGGCTGCTAATCTTCCAGCACAGCTGAGTGGAGCACAGTGATGCATGCAGGCCTGGAGCTTTATAGTAATCTGCTTGGGGATCTCCCGATTTAAGGACTGAAAATTCAGCTACCTCACAATTAAAAACTAGGGGAGAGAATGGAAAAAAACACCTTCTTATCTCCATGTCTCCTCTGCTGCTACTGTAGCACTCACACTAGAAAGCATTTCAAAGCTGTTACTTTGTGGATGAGGGTCCTCTTCATACACATGTCATGTGTTCTGATGAGTATATGAAAACTGCTTTCCTGAGCAGGGAGATCCGCCTCCTATAAACACTACACTCAGAGGGTCAGCCTCATGCTTCCTAACAGTTCTAGAGGAAACATGTCCCACCAGGCCCTGCTATGTGACCTGATCGCATCAGTGCAAAATGAAAATAAAGGGTTGGCTCCTTGTCAAACTGTATAAAGCATGAGAAGGCAGTAACAGCAGAACATGAAAACAGAAGTGGGTCTTTCCCAGAATGAGGCCTTCTGGAACATTCAACTTTGTTTTATGATGCCTCACCTGCATATGTCTGCACCACTTGTATGCCTGCTGCTTGCAAAGACCAGAAGAGGGCATCAAATATGGAAGCGAAGTTATAGACCGTTTGTGCTGCCAAGTGGACAGGAAACTGAACCCGGTTCCTCCAGAGGAGCAGCTAGTGCTTCTAACCTTCCTGAATGCTAACTGATAAACACAGCCCTGCTGCCTTTAACCCCCTGCACTTGGGAGCCAGAGCCAGGTGGATCCCTGTGAGTTTGAGGCTATCTACAAAGAGAGTTCCAGGAGAGCTGTTATACAAAGAAATTTTGTCTCAAAAAACCAAAAACCAACCAACCAAACAGAAAGATCAAATAAAACAAACAAACAAAAATCACAGCCCTGTCCTCTAGGGCAGGATTCTACTATCCACGAAAGGTATAATACTTTCGCCTGTTACATGTTTAGTGAAATAATTAGAACTAAAAGACTGCCTCTTCTAATGTTCCCTAGTACTGCAGTGAGAGGCTGCCCCTGAACCCCTGGATGTGAAAGGAAGCTGCTGTGCGTGCTGACCTCACCCTCCCTGGCTCCTCCAATGCAGAGGGCAAGTTGAATCTCGTCTTTTCATAGCCTTGGGTGCAGTTTACTTGATACAAAGGGATGAGCTCAAACCCTCCCCATGCATGTTAACTTACATATAGGCCATTTCTTTACCAAAAAATTTTGTTCATTTACTTTTTTTTTTTTTTTTTTTCTCTTGAGTAGGATCTCAAGTAGTACAGGCTGGCTGAGGCCATATGGCCCTGAGCTCCTTCTCCTCTTGCCTGCCTCCCATGCGCATTGATAGTAAATCCTAACATGGCCTTATCATAATGGACTCCAAAAGGGTTAGGGGTGCTCATAAGGAAAATTTTACATCCGGTGAGAGAAATGGGACAGAAACTAAGAGTTAGACTTTTGGAAAGGGAAAGAACATTGAGTTGTGTGGCCCTAAGAATCCTGGCTGTGATCAGCCTCATTAACCCTCCAGCTCAAGTCTGTTGTGGGTTCCAACATATAAGGGCAACACAAGTTCTCCAGTTCTTGAAATCAAAGTACATTAAGTCACCCAGAAGTTTTAGGTCTAGGAAACCACTACTAGAGAAAGTACAGTTGTAAGGCTGGTCAGGAAACAATGGGCACTATTCTAAGAATAAGAAAAGATGAAAAGCAAAAGGTACCAGTAGGTGTGGCAGCACATACCTGTAACCTCAGTACTCAGGAGCTGGGGGACTTCCAGGAGTCTGAGGACAATCTGGGTTACACAGTGAATAGCATGCCAGTCAGAGGTACATAGAACACTTGTCTCAAAAAACAAACAAAAAGGTGGCATTGCTGTGTAAGACAAGGTGGTCATGGCCCAACATATCTCTGGGTTATGTGTCTGCAGTATCTGTGAAACTAACAGCCGACACTTGAGAATCCAAATTGCCTCCCAAACTGGAGCCTCGTCCTTTGCCTTTCCCTACACAGAGCTAGCCCGAACACGATTGCGTTCCACTTGCTGTGGGGAATAAAAAAAACAAAAACAAAAACAAAAAACAAAACAAAACAAAACAAAACAAAAATAAACCAAAATGCCTGAAATGTAGGTAACAGTATGGGAGAGTATATTTTCTTAGCTTTCTTCCCTAGGACATGGAAAACGCTTCAATGTCTTCAATCATTTTTTTTTTTTTTTTTTTTTTTTCTGTTTTGATGAGTCTGCCTTAATGATGCAGCTAGGTTTTTGAAAACTGTGGTGTATCAGGTGACTCCATAAATGAGTATACAGATCCAGAGGGTACAGCCCAGGTTTACTTTGGCTACACAGGACACAAACCTGTACATAATTGTGTATTTAACACACATCACAAAGGCACAACGGAGGGACTATGCCTGAGATTTTATCAGCCCTATTACAACCTTACAGGACCAATGTTTAGTGCTGTGAGAGTGGTGAAAAGTAGTGGCACAAAAGACGTGTGGCACTGTCTGGGTGTCATGTCTGGACTGACCCATGCCAGCTCACTCCCAGTCCCTAAAGTCAATTGTGTCCCTGATTTGCATCGACTCTGACAACTGGTCTTCCTGGGACAAGGAAGGCAAACCAGGAATCGTTAAGAGAGGAAGAAGAAAGAGGTAGTCTTGAGCCTAAACAGAAAAGAAAGAACACATCGCCCGAGCTCATCAGCTGCCATATGCCGGCCAATGTTTACCTTACAGTTGCAGAGCCTAGCTAGTGCTTGCTGCTCAAGAGAAGACATGTCAGCTACTGGTATAGCCAACCACATAGAAACCAGGGCAAACTGGAATAAAGTATTGGGCAAGGCTATCAATTCTGCCCTCAAGTTGCCAGAAAGCCTCAATTGTATAGAGAGCTTACAGGTTTCCTGGTTTGTATTTTACAATGTTTTGTCTCACTCTTAGTCACTTATATTCTTTATGGCATTAACTTTGCTCTGAATTTATTCACAGCCATTATTTCACTGTGTGCATTCAGTGGCTAGGAGCAGCCTCTGTACACACGGAGTCAAATTGGCAGTTATGGTGTTGCTGTCATGCACCTTCTGGAGCTAAGGTCCCACCAGCATCCTGCCATGTGCCTTTGTCCTGCCACATCCAGGAGCCTGTAGTGAGAGACCCTATGGAAGCACTGGCAGCAGCCTTACTTGTGTCCTTGGAGCTCGATGGCTGTCCCTTTTCTCCCACCGATGTCCCACATGATGACGGAGTGATCAGAACTGCCCGAGAAGAGCACACGCTGGACCGGGTCCCAGCAGAGTGCTGTCACCCCTCCTAAGAGAACAGACATAGCCAGGTGTTAGTCACAGAACAATACCCTCGACACAAAACAGGATCTCAAAGGGATCAGGACCCACACTCCTGAATTAAGTGTTTGTTAAATGAGTGGGCAAGTAAGTCTCAGAAAAGAAAATTTGCTTCCAAAATAAAAACTCAGCCTGTAAGCAGCCACTGTAAAATATCATAAAATCAACTTCTATAAGCAACAGAGGGCAGTTCACTGGTATAATTCTAAAGGAAATATTGAATTATTTGGAAGTATTAACTGTATTTTCTTAGCTACGACCTGCTGCTCACCCTGATAATAATAAATGAGAAGAAAATGAGAATTAAAATGCTCAATTGGAGCTCTTTCTTTCTTGACACATAATAACTGTACATATTTGTGGGGTTCAATGTGATGTTTTAATTTAGGTATACATCATATAATAAGCAAACCAAAGGAGTAATTAGCATATTCACCTTATCAAACATTCAACAGTGGGAGTATTCAAAATCCTTCCCAGCTATTTTGAGATATACAATACCATTCTGTTAGTAACAGTTACCTTCTGTGCAACAAAACATCAGAGCTTACTCTTTGTAACTGCAATTTGGGACACACTGACCAACTGGGGACCACTGCCCAACCACTACTTCTACGAGGCCAACTTCTTAAAATTCTATGTGAGATCAAGTGATACTTATTTCTTCCTTTTCTTTCTTCTTCTTCTTCTTCTTTTTTTTTTTTTTTTTTTTTTTTTTTTTTTGTTTGTTTTATTTTTTTTCAAGACAAGGTTTCTCTGTAGTGTCCTGGAACTTGATTTGTAGACCAGGCTGGCCTTGAACTCACAGAGATCTGCCTACTTCTGCCTCCCAAGTGCTGGAATTAAAAAAATGTGTTTCAACCACCGCCCTGCTTTAGCACTTCTTTCTGTGTCTGGCTTATTTCATTTAACATAATGTCCTATAGTCCATGAAATGTGGTTGACAAATTCATCCTTCTTTATGGTATGATAATATCCCATCATATGTGTAGGCATATAACATTTCCTTTATCCATTCATAATATATTAGGTTAACTATTCCCATTCCTTAGTTACATGATGAATTCTACAACAACGGGGGCAGTTATCTTTGGATATAACCTTAGTTGCTGGATCATGAACTGTATATTTTGGGGAATAGCCTGGCCTCAATCTTTTGATGATCCTCCTGGCTTTGTCTCCTGAGTTCTGGGTTACAGCTGTGTACCACCATGCCTAGAAGTCAGTTTAGTTTTAATTTTCTGAACACCTTCCATAATACTTTCTATCAAGGCTGAAATAATTTACAATTCTCCCACTAGTGTGCGGCACCTTTCCCCACAGCTTTGCTCCCTTGCTGCTGTTTATCAGAACTATTTGTCTTAGCTAAAGTTTCTGTCGCTGTGCTACAACACCTGTACCATGACCTACACCAAAGTGGGGAGGGAGGGTTCCTATGATCTTCCACTCTGTCCACAGCCCATCACTGAGGGAAGTCAAGCAGGGCGGGGACCTGGAAGCAGACCTGAATTGGAAACCTTGAAGGAGTGTTGTCTACTGGCTGCTCCTCATGGCTTGCTCAGTCAGTCTGCTTTCTTATAGTATGCAAGATGCAAGGCCACCAGCCCAGGGCGGCACTGCCCACAATGACTCTGTTCTTTGTGAAGCTGACATAAAACTATCCAGCATATCATTTTACCTGCAGAGAGAGGACACTACACTGTGGTTTTGACTTCTCTGACGATTAGTGATATTGAGCATTTCCTCTTATAACTGCTGGTTATTTGCATGTCTTTATTTGAGAATACTGTGGAGTGTTTTTATATTTGGATATTAGGTATAATTAGGGACAACATCAGAGGTAGAAATTGTTTCTTCGGGAACTTGAGTTTATAAATCCTTTATAATTCAATTATATGCTAAGTACTAGTACCCTTGTCCTATTTAATACAGAGTCTAGAGTTGCCTGAGAGAGATGTCTCAACTGAAGATTGCCTAGACTGAACTGGCCTACAGCCAGACTTGTGGAGGATTCTTGTTTGTTGATGCAGGGACCTAGCCCACAGTGGGTGGCACCACCTCTAAGTGGTCCTGAGAAGTATACAGCAGCTGGCTGAGCATGAGCCAGTCAGCAAACCAGCAAGCAGCATTACTCCCCAGTTCCTGTTTCAGGTTTATGCCTGGGTTCCTGCCCCTATGCCCTTCAATGATGGACTGTGGTCTGGAAGCATAAGCCAAATAAACACTCTCTTCTTATAAGCCAGACTGTTTAATCACAGCAACAGGAAAGAAACTACTAGAACGACACTCACCTATGAAGTGAGGAAGGTGTACTACTGTGATCACTACAACTACTCAGTACCTACTGGATGAGAGACTGGATCAATTACACAGGACGAAGCCAGAGGTTCTCAACCTGGGGGTCGAACAGCCCTTTCATAAGGATTGCCTAAGACCATTGGAAAACACAGATAATTACCTTACCATTCATAAGAGCAGCAAAATCACAGTTTTGATGTAGCAAGAAGATAATCTTATGGTTGGGATCACCAAAGCATAAAGAACTGTATTAAAGGGCAGGAGTGTTAGGAAGGTTGAGAACCACTGGCCTAAGCTGCAGATGATATAGTTTATGGCTTCCCAATATTATGACAGAGTTTCTTCTCCAGCAATCCCCTTATAGATCAAATTCTTTGAATACTGAGAATAGAAACAAATTTTCTATATAAAATGAACACAAAGGCAACAAATACCAAGGAACGTTAGACATATCCGTTTTTAAATATTATTGAAAAATATTCTGAGGCTATTAAGTAGCTCATACTTATTGGAACCTGACATTTTAAAAATGATCAACTTGCTTTAATGAAGTCTTATACCTTGGAGGCTTTTAGGTAAGCTTCTCTCCTAACAGTCCCAGCAGAGTCTTTTAAGGTTACAGGGCCCCCGTGCTCCCTCCCACTGCTGAGGATTTCCTAACCAGCCTCTTCCTCTTCCTGCACTGCATTCTGCTTGCACACACCCCTGTTCACAATGAGCCCCACCTCCCCTAGCAACGTGTGATTAACGGGGCCTTCACCCTCACCGACTCCGCCTTCCCCAGCCAGCAGCCAAGCACAGCAAGGGCAGAATGAAGCGTAGATGAGTGAAAATTTGAAACAATTTTTCTCCAGTTCATGCCAGGCCTTACCTAAATCCCATGTCCTTAGAGGCGACCCCAGCGCTGCTCTCATTACTCACATATATCTTGCCCCAGAGTGGCTATCACTTCAGAGACAAGAGGCCCTGGGAGGCCAGAGCTGGGGCTTGTTCCTTGGTGTATGTGCCTCTGGAGGCAGACATTCAATCTGCAGAAGCAGATGAGCCAGCAGCTGTGTGCTGAGCAATAGCAAGGAATGGCCTCAGCCTTGCTACAAACAGATGAAGCAGGCCCCAGACACCTCTTTCCTGGGTAAGAAGCGCTGCTGATGGCGCGCTTTCACCCAGTTGACCTTTTCTCCATGGGATGCTTGAGCATCTGAAGTGGCTTCTTCACTAGAGAAGCCACTACACTCAGGGAAACAAATAAAGCAAGGTGACAGACGTGACTTTCCTTATAAAACATGTAAAATGTGTAGCTCGGCTTTTAAAAGCACTGTATCAGATTTAAACAACTGTGGGCACTGTAAAAAAGGATGGTTTGAAAATATCCATCAACTCAAGAGACTTTATGGATGATGGACTCTGTTACAAAGTTAGGTCACCTCAGAAATATCTCCCTGAACTATTGTATACTTAAAAGCGGATGAAATGGCCAGGGATGCAATCAGTGGTAGGGCACCTGCCTAGCATGCACAAGGCCCACAGTGCAAACCAAAACCAAAACCACCACCAGAGTTGCAATGGTAAAATCTATATTACAGATGTTTTATGAACGTAATTGTTATTGGTGGGATAATATCTTACAACACTGTATTCATACTGGGTTATTTTTACTTATTGGATTTTCTTCAACTTTTAACCAAATATTATAAATTTGCAGAAATAAGCATTTCAATAAAAACTATTCACATTTCTTTCACTATTTTTTTCAACTTTTAAACATTTATGTATATGAGCTTGTGTATATATTCATGTGGGTACCTGTGGAGGCCACAGTGGGTGGTCAGATCCCCTGAGGAGGAGTTACAAGAGGTGGTGGGCCTTCTAATGGGGGTGCTCCACAAGAGCAGCAAGCACTCCTAACTGCTGTGGAGACATCTCTCTGGACTCTCTTTGCTATTCTTTAAACAACAAGGACTTGCTTGCTCATGCTGGCCTCTAACTCTAAGTGACTCCCATGCCTTAGTCTCCTGGGTAGCTGTGTAACTCCACCCCCTTGCTTCACATTTTTTTATTGTTACATAGACAAGAATGTCAAATGTAGATCTGGGCCAGAGTTGAAATTTTTTAGAAATTTAATACCTGTTACCAAAATGTGTAGGGAATTATTTTTAATTAATTAATTAAATTTGAGACATGTGCAAAAGCCTTGCAAAACTGAACTCAAGAGTAAGAAACTTGCTGGGTCTGCCTTTGCCCAAATGTGATGAGTAACTTGCTCAGAGTCTGGCTTCACTCCCTCAACAGTAAGTGGGGCACGCTAATAATTAGCTAACAGGGCCTGAGTCAATGCTCAGACCACTGTGCTTCTTACATAAAATGTCACCAAAGTCACTACCTTTTGGTCCAGGCTGAAGTGATGAGGATTTGTGAGTTTCCCTTGTAAGTTCTCCCCCTTCTCTCTTTTTTCCTGCATAACTTATTTATTCAGTTTATGTGTGTGGGTGTTTTGTCTATATATATGTCACATGCATGCCCGGTACCTGCAAAGGACAGAAGAGGGCACTGGATCCCCTGGAAGTATAGTTGTAGATGGCTGTGAGCTGCCAAGTGGGTACTGGAAATCGACCTTGGACCCTGGGACAACAGCTAGTGTTCTTTACTGCTGAATCCTCTCTCCGACTGCACAAAAGCGGCTCTCCTACTGCTTCCCAACAGCCCACAGGAGACATTAGGGCTTCATAGCACTTCTGCCCACACAACAACCCTGCAATTATTGGTCTGCTGTGTTTGCAGGCTAGACTGAAGGAGAGTGGAGGTAAGGGTTACATTTGCTTTACTGACCCCCACACAGTGGCACCATTCACACACAGAACAAGCCAATGTTGATCAACTCAGTGGAACCTCCACACACTGAGTCAGACCTCACAGAAAGATCTGGGTGCAAGTGTCCATTTAACAAAAGCTGAAGTCCTCAATGTAATCATTTGAAGATGCCTGTCTGCATAGAACTTTCCTGTTTTTCTCAGTTGCTTTTATAATAGCCACAATATTCCTTTTGGTTCTCCTAACAGTGAGTGACTAAGGCTATGCTTAATTGTGAATTAGAAAGCTTTGACCTATTACATTCAAACCCTCCTGCTTCTCACATGTTCATGTGGGCATGGTGGCTCACACTAGAAATTCCAGTACACTTGAGAGGTTGAGACAGAAGCATCACTATGAGTTTGAGACCAGCTGTATACAGCAAGGCCTTACCATACAAAACAAAAACCATACAAATAAAGAGGATGTTACTCATGCTACTAACTTAACTCAAAATAGGTTTCCCTAATTTGTTCAGCTCAATGTAGAGCGCTTTAGTAGAAGGGTATATGAAGAAATTTCTTCAGAAAAGAACCATGACACTTGACATTCAGCTCCAGAAAGAAAACCAGCAGAGGGAGCTAGGAACACAAAATAAATCTCCACTGACTAGAAACTGCAGCTGCTGGGCTGGCTCCATCACTACTCCACATTTCTGTATGAGTTTCTACAGCATAAGAGAGAATGAGGAGGCAAATGGCCATGGCTCCCTATGGAAGAGAACGATGGGAAGAAAGACTGACCACGGCTCCATCCATAAACATTGAAGACCTCTATGTGTGAGTCAGGTCTGAACTGATGATGAGACACCTCCCTACTCCAATGAATCTGGTTTTGGTCTTTGGCCTTTACAGAAGTCCCTTTCTAAGAATTTGGGACTGAATAAGGCATAGTAGAGGCTTCCTCTATAGGAAGAGCTTAATGCTGTGAACTGTGCTTCAGTGTAGCTGAGCAAGCTGTGCTGCAGCCAGATGCGGCAGCTACTCTCTGCAAGAAGTTGAAGCCTCTTGATAACTACATTTGCCCTTATGTGAGCTAGCAACCTTCCTGAGCCATGTCATCTGCCTCAAAGATAACCCATGATAAAAACGAGATGAGGATGCCTTAAATTGTGAGAAAGATTCAGAACCAATACCTAAGTAACATTTTATATTACAGCAAGCATGCAGAAAACATAAGATTCTTAGCCATATCCACTCAACAACACAGAGGGCTCAAACAGTTCCTCACACCTGCTGCCTTGGCAATAACAACATGGAACTCAGGGGACCCCTGAGTGACTTTCTGAAGAGTCAAGACGGCACTTCTGCCTAATCCAATCTGGTTAGTTAGCAGCAGGCACATTCTCCCTATAGCCCCCTGCTCCCACAGCAAACCCAGGCTTCACTTGTGCTAGCAAGTACTCTACCCACTGAGCTACACCCTAGCTCCTGCTGTGATGATTTTCAACTTCATACTTTTACCCTGAATCTATCCACTCTTCCTCCTGTCCCCCTCCAGCACCCCATTTTAAGAGATAGTTTCTGGTGTTGGGGAGATGGCTTTACAGTTGAAGTGCATGCTGCTTTTACAGAGAACCAGAATGCTGCAACTCCAGCTCCTGGGGATCAGATGCCTCTGTTTCTTGGCTTCAAATTCATTAATGGTTTTTCAAGGATGCCAAAGTAACTCCAGGGTGAGCCTTAGGGATCTGGATTGACTGTAGCTTTCTTTCTGGCTACCTTCCCACAGCTGCCTCTGCTCCTCCTTCAGACAGAGAGGTGCAGCCTTGGAGAGGTGAGCGGCACTGTCAATGCTCAGAGCACGGGCTCTTAGATATCTGTGCCCTCACCATGCCAGCATTCCTTGGACGTCCTCTCACTCCTCTCTAAGAATTCAACACTCAGTCATTCCCTAAGATTTCGGGTCAAGCAACAGCTGCCCTGAATGCCCCCTCCAATGTCTCCTTCCAAGTAAGCACTGGGAGGCCCTGGTGCTTCTTTCCCAGGCCTCTGTCACCAGGCGCCATTACAGTGTAGCTTGGCTCTCACTGGGCTCTATGGAATCTGAGGTCAACAACTGTGCTTTTCTTTCTGACCAAGAGTATCCACCATGGAGCAAAGGGCAGGAGAAGAGGCAGATGCACAGGTTCTGAGAACAGCCAGAGGCAGGCAGAAGGAAGGCGGGAGAGGCTAGTTCCCAGATGCGAAAAGAGGGCAGCAACTGCATGGGGGACCATTGAAAATGCTGCCGAAAGTTAAACACACCAAGACCTTAAACACGTCCCAGAAGACCATGGGTCACCTGAGAGAGAGCAATTCAAATGAGATGACAGAGGCAAACCACATATTTGCCTCTAGGCTAGAAGGTAAACAGAAGGTGAAGGCCTTGGAGCAGCCAGGGAAAGGCATTCTGGGAAGTCTGCAGGCAATTTGCACATGGAGAAGCACTAAAGGATCCCACTTACCTGAAACAGTCACATTCCACAGGAAGAGCCAAGGGTCATGGGGGAGGGGCTAGCATCTAAGGGCAGAGGGTTGCAGCTTCACAAGATGAAGTGGTCTGGGATTGATGGTGGTGATAATGGCACAGTACCAGCAATGTACCAAACAAAATGGTTAAAGTGGTAACTTTTATCTTCTGCAAGAATAGAATTAGAAGAGTAATGGGAATGGCTACAGGAGGATGTGGGATTGAGAAGGTCTGGTTTGTTTCCTGAACAGATAAGCAAGAACCTTAAGTGTAGGAATAAATGGAGAGGAGCTGTTGCCTAAAGGAAGCCTGTTTTGGTGGGCGGCTCCTCAGAATTAGCCTGGGGCCCACAGGAAGACAGGTTCCCATACAGAGTTGAGAAGACACAAAAGAAAAGTCCTGTTTAGGTATGTAGAAGAGTTCAGAACAGGCAAGAAATAAACCATTTTGAAGCTGACAGCTTTTGAAGGAGGAGGTGGTAGGAGAGAGAAAGAAGAAGGGGGGGGGGAGGATGGTTATGAGCCAGGCATGAGGAGTGTGCTGCCAGCAGGAGGAAAAGAGGCAGCTCTGCACCCAGCTGGGAAATCACACCCTTGCCATGGCATCTAAATCTCAAGAGTGAATGTACTGGGGCTCCTGGTTCACACAAGCAAAGAAGGCAGATAGTCAGCTTGCATTTTAGTACTCCAAGATCACAGAGAAGGAGGGATGCTCTCAACTGAAGACATAAGCACTCTGGGAGGCATGGGGCAAAGAAGTGGGTGCTGGAGCCTAGACACACAGGTCAGACCCCTGGAGCTGGAGTTATGGACCACTGTGAGACATCCAATGCGGGTGCTGAGAACTGAATTCAGGTCCTCTGCAAGAGCAGCAAGCACTCTAAACTGCTGAGCCATTTCTCTGGCCCCTTTCTTTATTGCTCTACCCCTGCAAATCCCTTGTGACTAAATGAACACTATTTAATTAAACATCCTTTCCCATCTATTTTTGTTTTTCTATGACATCCAAATGGAGTATTACCTCTACACCAAAGCATGAGTTTACTTACTTACAAAAACGAAAGACCACACCAAGGCCTGCTAGCAACCACAAAACCAAGCTGTAGCACACTTCCCCAAAATGGACATTTTTTTTCTGGAACCAATGCTACTTCCAAAAAATGCCAGTATTCATTACTGCCATCAGGGCTACAGATTATTTTTTTATCTTGCATAGACAATCCTGAGCACACTAGTGATATAACGGGGACCTTGGGTTATAAACTAAAGGGTCCAATAGGAAATATGAATCTGTCCCCTTTTATTGAGTCTCGCTTCCCTTTTCCTGTCTGGGATCTGGGAATCTTTCCTGCACACTGTCTTCTCACTTTAAGCGTGAAAAGGACAAGTGTCCTACCAGTCTTCTGGGTTTTGAAACGTTGCCACATGGTCTCAAGTACCTTGACAACACATGCCAGCACTGGCTTTCTCCACAGCAACGCAAAAGCTAACATTCTCAAGAGAGAATGGTTTCTCTTCTGTTTGACTCATGGAGAAAATTTGTTGGTGTTCTGTCTTACTAATCATTTTACAATCAGCTAAGTATCATCTGTTGTTTTGCCCAAGCCCAGGTTATCCTCTGCTACCTTCAAACACAACACCTGAGCACCAGAATACGCAGTGGGGGATGGAGCCTCTGCTCAGATCTTACCTGTGTGCCCTCGGAAGGATGTGAGCAGTGTGCAGTTTTCTTGTTCCAGTTTGAGGATGGTGACTTGGCCTGAGTGATCACCAATAAACACATGACGGGTTTCCACATCAAATCTATCATGTAATCATTAAGGGTTTTAAAGAGGGGATTTATGAGAGTGAAAAACAAAACAATCTACGTTAGTTTAACAAGGAATATGCAGTGCCAGGCCAGCAGAACTTGAAGACAGGTCCAGGATGACACGAAAGGGGACTTAAGAAAATGAAGGCTGTACAATATTGTTAGACAGCCAGATGCAACATGACTAAGCTGTCGCTTATATTAATTTATACATTTAATATGACCACAATAAAAATATCAACATGTTTTCTGGAGCATGACATGTTCTTTCCAAAGTCCATAAAGAAAAATAAGCAAGGGGATACAGTAATATTTTGAAAATAAAAAAAGCATGCAAACCTACTAGATATTAGAATATGCCATAGAAGTTTCTTTTGTTTTGTTTTGTTTTTGAGAGGAGTGCTAAAACATGCTTTAGTGAAAACACTGTTTCAGCACCGTAAGTTTCAAGGCTTCCTGTTCTAGCCTGCAGCTGCTGTGACATCATAGCTGGCTCCTGCTCCTCAGGCATTGTTGCTGCTGACTGTCAACTCCTCAGTGCTCTGTACTGAGGTCCTTGTGGTAGCCTGACCAGTCACTGCTCAGTCATCTTCAGCTGTGCATCCCTGAAAGTAGCCCGGTGAGTGGGGCTCACACCTCTTCTGAGTCAAGCATACATACTGTATCTTTCCCCATCACTCTGTGAGGTTTATGTGGGTGAGGTGTACCTTTGACCTACTTTCTGTGATCTGCAAATGAAGGTGAAATACTTCATCTGGAGTTTTTTGTTATTCTGAATATCTATCTATCTATCTATCTATCTATATATATATATATATATATATATATATCTTTCCCCTTATTGCTGTGGTAAATTTGTGAGGAACGTACAGATGAGATGCTATGACTTGATCTCAGTAAGTAGTCTGCCTGGGAGGTTTGCTGAACTTCTGAGTGCAAAATCCCTGCCTTTGAATATGGTGACTGCTCTTGTTAGAGGTGGTGCCTGCTAAATAAATGTCTGGCCTACAGAATTTCTTTAAAGTGTGAGTATTGACAGAGAGACAAATGGCCTAGAATAGGGGGTCTAGAATCAGATACTTATGACACACAGTCCATTTTACTTTGTTTTCAATTTGGAGGATTTTTATTTTCTAATTTTATGTATCTTTTATTATGTTAGTGTGTGCATGTGCACACCTGAGGAGGCCAGAAGTCATCACATCACTTGGAGCTGTGATTACTAGCATCTGTAAGCCCTCTCCTCGACAGCTGGTGTTGAGATCTGAACTTCAATGCACATGGATGAATAGCAAGCACTCATAACCAATGAACCATTTCTCCAGAATTGTAGGCGTCAGAAAGAAAGCAGCCATTTGACATGAAACATGCCATTTGGGTGGTTCTAGTATAGCTTGTCATTTGAGGGGTTACAGTATAGTAGGCCACTCTTACTGGTTAATGATGGAAATTCTTATCAGTTCCAGTTCCTGAGACAATTATTTAGTAAAGTAGACTTGCAGAGATCCACAGTCAGGCCGGGACAGCACAGTAAACTGAAACTGTGAGCTAAGACAAACTCTTTCTGCCCTGAGTTGCTTCTGTCATCTTTTATCACAGCAACAGAAATGAAAACTAATACAGCAAGGGAGCTCCAACACAAGAACGCAGTGTCTTTGGTGTTGCAGAATAAAGGAGTTTTATGGCAGTGAAATTGCTCTGTAGGACAACACAATGGTGGACACATTTGTTCAGATCCATAGACCACACAAGGTACAACAGCAAAAGTGAGCCCAGAGGAATGCTAGGGATTTTGGGAGGTAGTGGCATACTACATGCATTAGTTGTTTGTCTCATCTCATTGTAACAAAATATCTGATGAAAGCAATTTAGGAGGGGTCTACTGTGACTCCCAGTTCCAGGGGACATGGTGCAGAATGGCAGGGAAAGGACAGAGATGGGAGCAGGAGGCAGCTGACCACACTGCATGCAGTTAGTAAGCAGCCAGCAATGATGTGCACAGTTCACTTTCTCCTTTCCATCCTTTTTTTTTTGTACTGTTAGGAATTCTTAGCGTTTTCTTTCTGTCTTTCTTTCTTTCTTTCTTTCTTTCTTTCTTTTTTTTTTTTTGTTTAGGTTTTTAAAAGTAATATATTTAACGTTTTCAATAATTGATATTTTTAAATATTAAAACTCCCATCTTTGGCTAATAATAGTCATATACTGGATTGTGTGTATGTGTCTGTCTGTCCGTGTCTATCTATGTATGTTCATGTGACCAAACACAGGGTTTCACAAATGATGGTCATGCACCATCAATGAGCTACATTGCCGATTCTACTCTCTCAAGCCAGTGGTTAGTCCCCAGAGTCATGAATTGTGCTCTGATTGAATAACGATGATGACGACCCAGTTTTCAGGGTGAAGGACACAGAACCATCACCATGAGGAAGTACAAAAGGCTGAACGTACACAGACTTGAGGGTGCAGGAAGGTGAACAAAGTACGTGATGTCAGTGGAAGTGGAGGGATCAGTTTAGAATGAGGGCTATCTAGAGAGCAAATCAGAAGCTTCTGGAGACAGTGGCAAGTGTTCCAGAGGAGGAATTGGGTTACATGACAACATCTAGATGATATTTTACAAAAAGTGACTTGCAAAGCAAGCACCATAAGCTGAATAGAGGATTTAGAGCTATGAAATGTTATTAATTTCTAGAGGTAACTATATCTTTGTAATTATGAATAAATATTTAGTTTTAGAGGTTCATAATGAAGTATGCTTAAGCTGGGTGGTGGTGTGTAGGCCTTTAATCCCAGCACTTGGGAGGCAGGGGCAGGTGGATCTCAGTTAGTTTGAGGCCAGCCTGGTCTACAGAGTTAGTTCCAAGACAGGCTCCAAATCTATACAGAAAAACCCCATCTTGAAAAAAACAACAAAAACTGTGTTTACATAAAACGACATTAGCGTCTAAAATGTGCTTCAGAATACTGTGGCAAAAGGGACAGAAGTACCAACAGTACATATGAGTTATTGGTAAGTGTCACTAAAATATTTTTTCTAGGAATGGTGGCAAAGGCAAGCAGATACCTGAGGACACCCTGAGAGTGAGTGAGCTCCAGGACAGCCAGGGCTACAAAGAGAAATCCTATCTCAAAACAAACAACAGACAACACCATCAAAAACAAAACCCAAGCCAAGTCATGGTCTCAACAGGGACTTAGAAAGGAGTTGAAATAAAATGACAGTACGTCTAGATGCTGGAGTGCTCAATATTAACGTTAAGTGCGCCATTAAGAAACTAAGATAATCTTAACGGATTTTCAGAACTCTTGACCTGATTGGGAATACACCTGAGCGATGACACTTTTAGGAAGACATCTCACTACACAGGGTGACATTTAGTAATACCTCCATCTCTCTCTCTCTCTCTCTCTCTCTCTCTCTCTCTCTCTCTCTCTCTCTCTCTCTCACGAGCTTCAGACAACCAGTAACCTGTGACTTTTGGAAAAGTCACAAAATGAAGGTGACTTTTGGAACTAGTGGCTATAATCTTAAACAAATGTTAATATGGTCAAGGTGAGTTTAATTGTAATTTTTGTTTTTCATTTTCAGATAGTCTGAAAAGTTATCTTCTTGGGGGCATATATGTGTCTTTGCACACACTGCCTGGTTTGGCTACGCAAGACAAGATAAATAGAAGATGCGCCATTATACTGGTCAGTGATACTGATGCCAGTGCTAGTGTAAGTCACAGGATGCTATTAGTGCTGGCCTCCATGAGCAAAGGGAACAAAGCAGAAGCCCATGGCAGAAAAGCCTCAGGAACAGTTGTCCCCTTCTTACTCACTGGCAGCGCGGCACCTTCGAGGCTTCAGCTGGCTCATCTGAAGCCTAGGTCATTTCTTACACGTACATGTGCTGCTGCCCTGTCAAGGACAGGCACCCTCTCCTTGCTAACTTGGTCTCTGGTCTTGGAAACTGTCCGCCTTTACAATCTTCCACTATGGTCTTTTTCATCCTTTCTTCTTGCCCTTCTAGTGAGAAAACAAAGGCAGCATTAGCCTCTGAGTACTCGTAAACGTACCCGCCACCACACAGGTGCAAGGAGATCGCTCGTGATGTACTGTCATAGGACTGACAACTGACTAGACACTTTGTAAATACAGAGATAAAACCCCAAAGCAGACATCATCCTGCTTCTATGGATGGTGTAGATTTCCATGCCCTGCCTCACATGTCAGAAACTGGAGGATTCCACTTTTTCACACAAGAGAACTTTCCTCCTTGCTTTGGGAGAAATATGTCGCCCAATTGACGCTAGGCTTGTCAGAGCCCAGTCAGCAAGAAGTGAGCCTTCCCTGGAATTAGTAGGTGCTCACCCCAAGCACACGGACTGAACTTGGGAGACAAGAATATCACACTATGGATTCTGAGAAGGTTTCATGCCTGGAACAAAGTTTGCAGGGTACCTTCTAGAAACAGCTAGCTCTCTGGTCCTTGGCCTGGTAGTCTGACAAATATTTAAAATTTAATTATAATTAGTGTGTACCACAGGGTGCATGAGGACATAAGAGGACAATTGCCAGTAGCCAGCTGTTTCCTTCCAGGATGAGTTCTAGGGACTGAACTCAGACTCTACACTTGTGTGGCAAGCACTTCTGCCTGCTCAGCCATCCCACTGCCCACACCCCAGATATTTCTAAATGAATGGCCCACTCTCTAAGCACCAATGGGGATTCATGATGGATCTCCTATAGGAGAAATGACTTGTCTATTAAAACCAAACATATTTTGATGATGGTTGTATGTTCATGGACCACAGTCCTGACAACTGAGGATCACACATAGACTGTGTCCTGTCTGGGTGTTAGAACTGTGTCATGGCAGTGGGCAGGCTTGTTACTTTAACAATGTTGCCTCACTCCACTCTGTTCACATGGGAACTCCCAATACCTTGTACCTAAGAGAGCCTCTGAGTATCATTTTCACACAGGGAAAAACAGAAAACAATGAACATGTCCCAAATGTCATGCATCAAGGAGAAAGGGCTTTGCCCAGCAAAGGATACTGCAGGCCTGAGGCCACAGCACTGGTACGGTAACATCCCAGGCGCTGCCCACTCTCAGAGCAGTGCCAGGCGAACTGCTTGTCCTGACCTGTGCTCAGAACCCACTCCAGCTCCAGAACAAACAGGACCATCGTCACTCTGCTCTGGTGTGCTGAAAAAAAAAAAAAAAAAAAAATCAAGAGATGAGAAAATGACTGATAAAGAAGATAGAAAAAAAAAAAAAACAAAAAACACCATTACATCCTTTTCCCTATCCCAGAAGAGGCTGAAGGACAAAGCCACCAGCAACAGGACAAAACAACAGCTCTCTTTAGACACTTGTCTTATTTATTTACAATCTATCTCTTCATACCCTTGCTTGTTTCCATCCAAGAGTTACCGTCTTGGGAAGCTCCCTACCCCAAAGCCTGGCCAAGCATACTAGGGCTACTGGTTCATTATGACCACAAGGTACACTAGGAATGACATTTGCAACACAGCCATGGTGGTCAGTTTATGTGCACTTCCCCCAAAGGAAAGGAATAGTGTCCTTTTGCTGTTGTTGATATCTGATTTCAAAATTCATAACATTTCTGAGTTTCCTGCCTGAACCCAAATGTTTGGAGAATTATAAAAAAAGAGAATGGTGGTCATTTGAAGGAGAAAGTCCTCAATAGGCTCATATATTGGAATGCTTGATCCTCATTTGGTGGCACTGTTCAGGAAGGATTCAGAGGTGTGGCCTTGTTGGGGGAGATTGTCCCTGGGGATGGGCTTTGATATTTCCAAAGACTCCTGCCATTCCTATGTGGAATCTTTCTGCTTCCTGCTTGTGGAACAAGACATCTATCACTCCAGCTGTTGTTGCCTCCATGCCTCTGCTTTGCATCATGAGCTTTCCCTCTGGAACTACAAGCCCAAATAAATACTTTGTTTTATAAGTTGAGTTGGCCATAGTATTTTACCACAGTAACAGAAAAAAAGTATCTAAGACATGAATGAAATATCTGTTATGCAGAAGTAGGTACATGTGAGGGAAAGAGAGAGCATTCTTATGGTTACTCAGACAAGGGCAACCCTATTAGAATTTTGGTATCGCATAACTTCAGAGTGAAAAGAGACTGCTCATCCTTTCTATCCATCTCTCTGTTGCTCACCTGGGTAAACTGAGTTGTAGTGACTCTGAATGTTGTGGCTAAGATCTCATGAGTCTCAGTTACTCAATAAACTCAGGCAGGAAGAGTTTTGCTTTCTTACTTTGTGATGTCAGGCAATGAACACAGGTAATAGAACGAACAAAGACACGCTCTGCAGCTTGGCTAGTGGTCTAATGAGGCAGGAGTATACCTGAGTATGGTGAAGTGTAGATTTTCCACCTGGATTACCAAGCAGCTTTAGAAACGTGAGTGACTGTCTGAAGTCCCACTGTGGTAAAAAACCATCTGCCAACTTCAGGGTATTTAGCACATTCTCTTAGTCACTGAGGAGACTAAGAGTGAGGTATGTGTCCGAATATCTCTCTCTCTCTCTCTCTCTCTCTCTCTCTCTCTCTCTCTCTCTCTCTCTCTCTCTCTCCCACACACACACACACACACACACACACACACACACACACACACACACACAGAGCAATGCAAACCTTTGGTTTTTGTGGTAAGTCAGTTCCCTTAGTGACTGGCTGTCAGTGGGAAAACAAAAAAGGAAACAAAATTTCAAAAACTCAAAACACAGAGGCTAAGAAGGAACTCTTGGAAGAAAACTCTTGGAAGGCAGATACTTATCACTGAACTTCAGAAACTCATAGGAAAACACAGACTTGGCATCTGGCTTGGTGAGTAGGAACCAGGGAGAGAGGGATGCTAGTCTTAGCAGAACATCTTTCTTACCATCATGCTTTCAGCCTCAGAAAGTCACACACACACACACACACACACACACACACACACACACACACACTCAACTCTAGTTATACAGTATGAATAAAAATGCTGTTTCACAAGATAACTGTTTTAACTCTTTGAAACATTTTTGAAAGAGGCTATGTCATGTCATATTACCATCAGCAACTCTGGTTTATCCACATCACTTTCAAGGCTGGTTTATTTGACTTTTGTTTTATTTTTTGAGATATGTTATCCTGATATAGCCAGACTGGCCTTGAATGCACAATTTTCCTACCTTAGTTATGTGCCATTAAGCCTGGAGTAACTTTTCCAAAGGAATTAATATTTATGGCATAATCAACTAAACTTCAGGCATCTCATCAAGCAATTTATACATAAAATGTCTACATTTTTTATAGAAAATGTAACATATAATTTACCATTTTAACCACTCTTAAATATACATTCTGTAGAATTAAAAATATTCATGATAATATATAATAGCCATCATCTTTATAGAACTTGTACATCTTTTCAAACATAAATCCTGAGCCTATTAAACACTAACTTTCAACTTCCCTTCTTCCCCAGCTCTTGGTAACTACTATTCCATTTTCAGTCTCTACAGATTTGATTGTGGTAAGTACCACATGTACATGGACTCCTTCAAAACATGTTCTTTAGTGATGGGCATTTACTATGCTGGAACATGCTGGTTATTTCCTTTTGAAGGTGATGGGGGATGTCCTTCTGTATGCTGTGAATATATGTTTCTCTTATTGGTTGATGAATAAAGCTGTTTCAGCCAATTGACAGGCAGGATTTAGCCAGGTGGGAAATCCAACAGGGATAGAGACAGGTAATAGGCAGAGTCAAGGAGACACCATGTAGCTATCAGGAAGGTAGGCTGTCAGGCATTCGCCAGCAAGCCAAGATCACATGGAGATACATAGATTAATAGAAATGTGCTAATAACTAAAAGAGAGCTAGCTAATAAGAAGCCTGAGCCATTGGTCAAACAATAATTAATATAAGCCTCTGTGTGTTTATTTGGGACTAAATGGCTGTGGGACCAGGCGGGACAGAAACTTCCATCTACATGAGGGTTCTGTGATATGCCTTCAGATACATATACTTCACTGCATCAGTCCATTCAATTAATGATGCACATCTAGGGAATTTCATCTTGGGCTTACTGTAGTCATACGGCCATGACCACGGATACACAACTATTTGTTTGAGCTTTACTTCCCTTATTTGGGGAACACAACACTGAATTTTTGTGGTTTTGTTTTACTTGTTCATTTGTTGAGACAGGGTCTCTCTATTTAGTCATAGCTATCTTGGAACTTTTTATGTGAATCAGACTGGCCTAGAACACAGAGATTCTCTACCTCCTGAGTGCTGGGATTAAAGGTGCTCATAACTACACCTGGCTGCCATTTAGTTTTTAAAATGACTCCAATACTACATTCCTGAGATAAACTTCACCGGACCATAATGTATTCTTTTGTACATATTGCTGAATGTGATGAAATTTGTGTTTGTATCATCTGTTTTTTATGGAGAATGGCATCCTAGGTTTCTTACATTGATTTGTATAGTATTAGTATAAGGAAATTATGACTTTTTACAGTGGGTTGGGAAGTCTTTCATTTCTCATTTCTAAAGGATTTCCTATAGTTTCACATATTTTCTTCCTTAATGTTTAAAAAATATAACCAGTAAAACCATTTGGTCTAGGAGTATAAAGGGAATGGAAGAAAGAAGCTTTTGCGCTTTGCCTGCTTGCTCTCTCTTGTTAGCAAGTCCATTCCTTACTGCGATTAGAACCCACTCCTTCAGGATTCTGCCATATAATAAAGACCAACTGAGACATCCAGCATCATGGACTGAGCAACTACTGGACTCTTGGACCTCCTGTTGGTAGATAGTATTGTTGGACAAGCTGGACCACAGCCTGTTAGTCATTCTAATAAATCCACCCTCCCACTTTCTCTCTCTCAATGTATGTATGTATGTATGTATGTATGTATGTATGTATGTATATGTAATATATGTGTGTGTGTGTGCTCACGCGCGTGCGTGTGTGTATTCAATAGCTATCTATTTATCTATCTACCTACCTATCATTTATCTATTCATCCTCTCAGTGCTGTTGCTCTAGAGCAGTTGTTTTCAACCTGTGGATCATGACCCTTAGAGGACAAATGAATCTCAGATCATCAGAAAGCACAAATATTTATATTACAATCCATAACAATAGCAAAATTACAGTTATGAAGTACAAAACAAAAATAATTTTATGGTTGTGGTTACCACATGAGGAACTGTATTAAAGGGTTGAAGCATTAGAAAGGTTCAAAACCACAGCTGTAGAGGACCAATACAAGTTTTCGTACCAGTGCACACATGGAGTTCTGAAGGAGGGGTCAGGTCACTCTTTCCTGATACTGATAATTTCCAATGTCTTCCCGCTTGCTAGTCTAGCTACAAGTTCATCACTTAGAAAAATAGCCTTTGATGACCCTGACTGATCTGTACTATCTGTTTTATACCTCATGAATTGCTGTAATGTCTTCCCTTCCCTCTGGGTAGCTTAGGGTTTTATTATTATTATTAATATTATTACTACTACTACTACTTTCCTTTTTTTAAAAAAAAAATTCCCCCCCCCCCATGGCATAAATAAAGGTCATTGATTTGAGACCTTGCTTCTTTTATGACATCAATGTTTGAGCTGTCAATCTCCTTTTAGAAGCTGCAGCAGCCATATCCTATAAATACCAGCAGCCTTCTTTTCATTTTTATTTGGTTCAGAATGCTTTATGATTTCTTCTTTAACCCATGAATTATTTTAAAGTGTATTATTTACCTTCCAAATAGTTTAGGATTTCTCAAGGGTCTACTCATCATCAAACTTTACTTTAACCCCATTTTTAGATTATATGTCTAAATCCTTTAAAACTTATCAAGACTTGCCTTATTGTTTCCATCATAGCAGAAGTTCTTCAAGCATTTCAAAATAGGGCGCATTTTGTTTCAGGTGAGTGGAGTTTCTATATATGACCATTGGGAAAGGCACTGAATTGTCCTTGACAACCTCCTACATGCCTGTCCTATCAGTTAATTTCTGACTACAACTGTGTATGTGGCCACTTGTCCCTAACAGTTCGTTTTTAACCTTATTTCAAAGCTATGTCAGAAACAAAAAGGTTCATTATGGCCTTCTGCTGGACTGGCCCTTCACTTTTGCTCTGAAATCTGCTTTGATATTAATAAAGTTACCTGAGCTGCACTTTAGTTAGTGTTCTCATGGTACGACTCCTACCATTCTACCACCAACTTGTTTCTCAAATGATTGACAGCATCTTGTATACAGGTTATATTTGAATCTCAAATTCTTATTTAATGGACTTAATTAAAATTGCTGATTTCTAATTACTAGTTTAACCCTATTTATATTTAATGTGTCATTGATATTTTAGGTTTAAACCTATCCCCTTACTATTTGTTCTCTTTTTTTTCCCATTTTCTTTCTCCATTTTTCTCTTACTTTGGCCGTCATTTTTACTGACTGAAAATAATCTTTAAATTCCATTTTATTTCATTGATTAATAGTTGTGTTTGTCACAGTAACAGTTGTTTATTGTAAACAGTATGTATCTCTAATTTACCAGAAAAACTTTACAACAATATATTTCTATTTTTCCCAATCGTCTACTTTTATAAATATCATTACACATTTTAATTTTATATCTGATATCAATTCTATGTTGTTGTTATTTTTAAATACCAAATATCCTTTTGGGAGACTGTATTTCAGTTACTATTTTGTTGTTCTTCACTCTTTGAATAGATGCATATTTTCCATTGGCATTACTTTCTTCCTGAAGATTTTTCTTTGATGTTTTCTCTAGTAGAGATCTATAAGAAATGAATTCTTAGGGTTCTTTATGACAGAAGAGTTTTAATTTTATTTTACTTTTTTAAAAATTAGAATGCCAACAACTTTGGAACATGACTAGTATTCTGAAAGAGATAATAACATCACTTTTTACATTTTTTAAAGAAAACTAAAGCTAAGTGGGGTGGTGTATGCTTATTCCCTCAGTCTAGGGTCTGAGACCAACCTGGGCTATATAGTGAAAGCCTGTCTCAAAACCAAACCAGAACAGACAAACAAAACATCAAGGGAGATGGCTAAGTGGTTAGGAGCACCTAGTATGTTTAGAGAAGACCCAGGTATGATTTCCAGCACCTGTGTGGTGATTCACAGCTGCCTATAACTCCAGTTCCAGGTAATTCAATGCCTTCTCTGACCATCATAGGCCCCACACAGTGCTCTTACATGCAGACAAAACACTCAAACACATGAAATAAAAATAAATATTTTAAAAGGTATAGAAACTAGGAGCTAATAAAACAAAAACACTGTAAATAAAAGTCATATTTTTAAAAAGTCAAACATAAAAATATCACTGAAATTCTATAACCCAGGGGTTAGTACATTAGACCATAAATTATTAAGTAGTGATAGATCTGAGATCAATGGAAAAGTATACTTAAAGTGCTGAAGGAATTTTTAAAAGTAGAGTTGTATGCTGTGTGAAGGTATCTTAAGGAATCCAGTATCTTAGAACCTTCCAAACTCTTGATAGCACAATATCTTTGGAGGTCACATATGGGATGCTGGGTGACCACAAAGAATGAATAAGATAAAGATATCTGGATAAAATGATATCCAGGTCTTAGAGACCCAAAGCCCTGATGACATGATACTGTTGGTCTGGATACAGGTCTCTTGCAGACATGTCTCCCGATTGACAGAATGAATTTGGCCAATAAGCCAATGTTGAAGATGCAATAGAAACTGTAACCCACCCCCACCCCACCCCTGCACACAGGCAAAACATTTTACCAAACATGAAATTAGTCTCATCTGAGACTGACACCACTTTTCCTGAGCCTGCTATACCATTCCAAGGAAGCATGGTGTAGAAGGACCAAGCTTGGCAGTCACGATGACCTAGCCTGGGTTGCACTTAACCTTTGTAGAACCAGGCTAATAAGGAACCCAGTTTCTTCGGGCCTCTGCAACTTAGTTCACAAGTGGGATAATACTGACCTCCCAGGGTTTCTCTTTGTGTTCCCCCAGGTAATTTAAGTGTTCTTAGTGAGAGTGAAAACTACCAAGAAATAGTTTTAGAGCCAGCTAACAACAGTCCTTTGACTCCTACCTTGATAGTTTTTCACAGGTGTCATCTTGTTATAATCTTCAGATAAAATAAATTCCTACAAGACAAAAGAGAAACATTAAGCAAAAGCATTAAGCTTTTTTTGTTTCTTGAGATTTTATTTTTATTTTATGTGTATGAGTGTTTGGCCTGCATGTATGTCTGTGCACCATGTGCATGCCATACCCATGGAGGCCAGAAGAGGGAGGCAGATCCTCTGGAACTAGAGTTACAGATGTTTGGTTGCTGTCATGGTGTTGCTGGGAATTGAACATGGGTCCTCTGGAAGGACCAGAGCTTCAAATGGGGTCATTCTCCAGTCCCCAAGCAAAAGTAAAGTTTTCAATGAGCAATTATGCTTTGGTAAACAGAATGCATACCAGAATTCCAGAGAACATTAGTGGCTTGTCAATCAGCTGGGCATGTGTGACCCTCTCCAACAGTAACCCAAACTCTGATCCGATGTGAGAGCAGAAATTTTACCTCACAACTCTCAAGCTGGCTTTTCTTATATGAGGAGAATCATATGAGATCACGTTCTAAGTCAGGGTTCTGGTCAATGCTAATCCTAACTGGATTCAAAATCTCACTGGCACCACAGCAAACATTGAAAGACTTTAGCAGTGAGCAAATAGGCAGCAATTATTTACTGAGAAATACTGTTATTTGGAACCTGCTGTTCACATTAGTATTCACTTTCCTTTGCAACAAGCTCCTTGGGGCTGCTCCTGCTCAGCCCCTGTATCTCTAGGACCATTGCACAGTTCCCTGGCACAGTGAGTTGTCAATATGTCTGTCAGTTGTGTGGAAGGCATCTCTTAAGCTGATGAGATGAGTCTGGACTACAAAGGCACTGAAGACATTAGTTTCTACACAGCACTCCTTGTGGGGACACACAAAAGGGTTTTACCTAAGCATCCACACAGTTGGTGATGCCCATGTAGACACCAATCAGGTATTTGCAAGGCCTGGTCAAGGGTTGAGCTCTTTAGCTTCCTCTAATGCAAACACCCACATATCTCTGAAGGTGAACTACAGAGCAGGGTGAAGGAGCAACATGGAATAAAGGAGTGCTTTCATCTGGGCTTACAGCAGAACAATCAAGCTTTTCACAACAGTTGGGAGCATCTGGGATCTTTCTCTGATGACTTACACAGTGTGGGGGAAGACGGATGTGGACATTCTTTTCTTTCTATTAGGTGCTTAATAAGTTCACACAGATTATATAACCTTTTAGGTGAAAATACTGTATTATTTTTGTGACAGGTGCCACAAAGGTAAAATAGGGTAGCATGACAGAATATTCTACTTTCTTTGGTTCTGGTTTTCTGTCACAGGTCCCATAAGAAGTTTACCTACAAAGGGATTTTCTTTACAATGTTTTTGTTGGGAAAAACATTATTCAACCTGCTAGTTCAAACTCATATCATGAATCCTTCAAGGAGTGGCACCATATCTACTCATTTCTGAAGAGTTCAAATCAAAACGTGACAGATAAAGTTGAAAAGACATATACAGCTCCCCACTGACAGACACATCTGGCTGACTGTGGGAAGCCTCACACAAGACTCTCTCCAGCGCTGCCAACACAGAGAAAACATGTCTGCTGCAAACACAACTGATAACTGGGCAAATTTGTTTAGTGCATGTCGAATATACTGAAATGGCTCATTGGCCTAGGAAAGGCATACAATAAAACAATTTGATCTAGGTTTTCACTTAGGATTTATGACATGCATACAAAATAGGAAACTAACAGTTCACTTTGTACTAGTAAACTAATTTTTTTAAAAAAATATTTTCTTCCAATGGTAATAAAAACATACGGACAAGGAAAATTTGGGGGAGATCTCACTTTTTAATTGATGGAAACCACATGCTAGTCTAAGTGTATAAAAGTTAAATATTTAAATAAATTTTGTGATATCATTTCTTTATACGTATTATTGAAAGTATATCTATCATACTGTTATTATATAGTATAATAAAACAGAGTGTGAAAACTAATTGGTGATGCTTTTTTAATATTAACAAATAGGCAGCTATCCTTTACTCACAAATTTCGTTCTTTTTTTAATGAGTTCACAGGATGCTATAATGTTCAGAAGGTATATAGGTATAATATGACAGAGTTTGTCTAATGAAGATGTGATAGATATCAACCAGCAGAATTTATATATATATATATATATATATATATATATATATATATACACATATATATATATATATATATTTTCACAAAAATCCAATGTGAAATTCTGGATAAAGCTTAAATTTATTTCCTTAGGATTGATCAATTAAAATTAGATTATATACATTTTAAATTATTTCAGAAAAAAAATCTGTCCTCTTTTTTTTTTCCATTTTACTGTCTACCTATTACCTAATTATTTTTAATACATATTACAGTATATCAACATACAAGAGGCACACAAGGGAAAAGTTAGCAGCTATCTGCAAATTCAACCTTACTTTTTAAGCAAACAGACTTAGACTATTTGGTGTATCCTCATAAACTTTATTTTAAAATGTAAACCCTTTTTAAATATGCACAGAGATAAATATACATTTAGGGGTTTTATTAGTTAGGTTGCATAAAAATAGAATAATTGCTATCTTCCCTTAAAATATATCAGAGCTATCTTCCCTGGATTCACTCAGTTTAACTTACTCTTTCTGATGACCCTGAAATACTCTATAAAATGGGTGTACCATTCATCTTTCAAGTCCTGCCCTTTTTAAATGGTTACTTTATTTGTTCACTAATTTTCACTATTATACCCATGTATACCTTTATGACCTGATGCACATAGAAGACTGCTGACTAAACACTGAACACCGCCACATCACTCTCCATGAAGCAAGAAGGCTCTACCAGTCTCTACCCTCACATGGTGTGATTCACTCAATCCCATCAACAGACACATTTATCTTTTCCCTCTTCCAAACTAATGTGCAAGAAAATGGCATCTCATCGTGGTTTTATGTGCACTAATGTTTATATATACCAAAGTATTGTCTTTTCGCCCCCTTTTCTCCTCCCTCCCTCCCTCTGCCTCCCTCCCTCCCTTCCTCCGTCCCTTCTTTCTTCCTTTCTGGCACTTTCTTTTTTTGTATCAATTTTTGTTTTAGATTTTGCTTTAGATCGGTTCCCACCCCACCAAACAAACAAACAAAACTTTAGACCAAAAACTGACTCTGAGGTAAAGTCTTCAATTGAATGTTAGATCCGAGAGTGAAGTTTCAGCAACATAAGCAAAGGACCAGCAAAGAGAAACCAAGAATGATGCTGTCACATCACCCCCAAGCTGGCCTGAATTTCAGAGAAGTCCAGCTGGTTCTCTAGCACACAGGAAGTTGTTGGCTGGACAGACAGGAGAAGGACACAGGAGGGAAGGAAGGGGAGGGGATTTCCCTGCAGCTTTCTTGGCTCCCTTTGGACTGTGATACTAGCTCAACAGTGCCTGAACTTTCCCTACCTCCAAGAAATAGCTTAACCTAGCCTTACAGGGAGCCTGGCAAAATCGGATCTCCAGAGAAGCAGAGAAGCACTTCTAGAAGTGAGAAAGTGACAGCTGAACCAGACACTCTGGGCTAACAATAAACCCAGAGGGTCTGGATAACAATAACTCCTGAGGCAGTGGATACAGTGTGGCCCATGGCATTTTTTATTCTGCAATTTTCTTACTTAAGTATAGAAAGGTTTTGATTACTAGATTTTGTAACCCACTGTACATCCCTCTCCCAGTATCCTGCCTTTGTGTTTACTTATCAGATCTTTTGTATTGAAAATTTCACTGATAAACAAATAAGCAATTGTGGCACCCTGAGTTGAAATTGCAATTTGGCTAAGTTTTTGGGTAGGGTTGCAAGTAACCCAGGTGGGCCTTGAACTCCCTGTGATCTGAATTCTTGCCTCCACTTCCAGAGTGCTTGCAACACCATGCCATTTATGAAGTGCAGCAGTTGGAAGCCAGGTCCTCCTCTATGCTGGGTGAGAGCACTCTGCCAACTGAGTTCCATCCTCAGCCTCTGCACTGTAAGTTTCATGTTTCTGTTTATAAAAAATATTTCAATTGAAATGTCTTCCATGATGCATTCACACAGATCTTTATGTTTAATCTTTTTAGCTAGCCTGAGCAGCTTTGAACATCTGTAAACACTGTTTTGCTTTTCTTTGTCTCTCTTAATTTCTCTGAAAACCAAGCCTAGCAAAATTAGTCAATTAGATGGTAAAAATTACTTTAATTGGGCTATGGTACTTTTTTTTTTTAAAGTTGCTAACATGTCCTGTCATTTTTAAAAGTACTAAAAAGTCCATTCTTGTCTAGACACATGTCGATCACAACACTCCGGAATGCTTCACAAGAACTGTTACCACTTTTTATTTGCATGTGAGATACATCTGTCAAATAGACATCATGGCTTCTGTTTAGTAATATCGAGTTCACTCAGCTAATCCCATTTGTTAATGAGTTTTTGTCAGCCTAAGGGAGATGCCAGTAGGTGGTATAATGTGCTTTTCATTGGAATAAAGCCATTTTGTTTTCTGGTCATCCTTAGAACTCTATACATCATAAGTTCTTGTTAATATCTTGAGTCATTCCATCTCTATATAAGATGTGACCAGTCAAGGAACATTAAACAGTTCTAAGCATTGTTTACCACCTTACTTGATTTGTAAGGATCAATGAAACTGATCCATGACAATTCTTGATAATGAAGCCATAGTACATCACACATTAAAAAACAGCTAGGGAGCCAGCACAGGACCGACCCCTGCATATGTGTGACAGTTGTGTGGCTTGATTTGTTTGCGGGGCTCCTAGCAGTGGGGTCAGGACCTATCTCAGGCACATGAGCTAGCTTTTGGAAACCTATTCCCCATTGCTGGGTTGCCTTGCCTAGTCCTGATGCAGGGGGAGGAGCTTGATCCTGTCTCAACCTGATGTGCCAGGCTTTGTTGATGCCTATGGCCCATGGGAGGCCTGCCCCTTTCTGAATAGAGACAGGGAATAGAGGAAGGTAAAGGGGAGGTGGGGGAAAAGGGAAAGA